GAAACAGGATTGTTGTATTGTATATAGTTTTCTGTCCCGAGCATGTGTTGAAAGCGAATGTATTTATTAGCGTGAATGTGTAGTGTAAGATGGCGGGATATTGATTACCCATCGGCCCTCAAATAGGTTAGTTATAATAGGTGTTAAGGATAATGGAGGAATACCAAATACTCTACCACCCTGAGTTAATGTAAATGAAGTAAAGCATGTATTTAATAATGATTCAGAATGTGAATAGATTGGGATCTAGGAACTGCATGTGTTGGGTGCTGAACTGACCTACCTGCTGCCAGCACCCGAGTGCTGGTAATTTATTGTAAATTACAAAAGCTGGAATTGCCGATGGACTAGAAAAAGACAAATGTGTATGTATGTATTGTACACAAATGCGCGGATTTGAGCTTATACAAGTCCAAATACTTCAAATTTATTTGATTTTGCAAAAACATTTAAATTTCCTATAACACGATATAACTGATATTATTTGATATTTAATGATTATTATTATGAGGTCGAGAGGTGCGATCTGGTGTGATGTAGGTTTTAGAAAAACGTTTTCTTTATCGTGCCAACGTTTCGGTCTTTATTGAGATCATCTTCAGAGCTCAAAGTGTTTGTTTTCCGTGTAGATGTGTCATTCTAGTCTGTCGTGTTGAGAGTGCCCAGTATTTAATATTATAATTTTGTTTTTATTGACTAGTCAAATCCCAATTATTACTTTTGTATTCAAATATTTTAATTTACAAAATCGAAGTTAAGGCTAATTTTAAAATAAAGGAAACACTTAGTTCCTTCGTCAAGCTTTCGACCTCTTCATCACTAATTTGAAACTATTTTTAATACTTCACGTGGTCAACAGATATGATCATCTAATTAAAGTTTCAAATATTAGGATATATTCATAAAAAGCTAGATTATTTCAAACTTATTACTAGGTGTTTTTTTCCCTTCGATTTGGCAATATCTTTGATTTTGTGTTACAAAGGAACAAGTGAATTTAAAAAACGCCAAAAAAGAACGTGTTCTACTTTCCCCTACACTCGTTTATCTGTTGTTTTCTAACAACACGCAAGTACGTCAAACTGCTTGCAAAAATGTCGAAATGTTACAATCTGAACGACAATGGATACAGTACACCAACGAAAATCGTTTAAAAAATTCTAATTAAAATTGTATTGAACGTTATCGTTTACAAAACAAAAATCATCACATAAATTTTGTAGTTCATTTCAAAGATTAATTTTTTAATATTGTAGTTTAATGCGCAAAACGTCAAATAAGCCCGGCATAAACAATAAACCGTTCAGTATGAATTTACAAAAAAATTCGTCAAGTATTTCATTTTAAAACTAGAACGGAAAATCTTATTTTTTCTTGCTTTTTTAATATTTTTTGGCTATTAAGACAAAAATCGGATTATTAGTTCAATCTCCTTTTGAATATCCTTATGACTAAAGTTATTGGGTCTTCTAAACGGCGAACCCATGGGGTTTTTCCTTTTTCAAAATTCAGTGAGGATTTCTGTTCGAAAACTGAAACCTCGCTGACGAGGGCACAAGGCTGAAATGCGTTCAACTCAAACCCCGGGGAGGTAGACGGACCCAGCGCCTGTTCAACATCCCTACACTAAACGGACCTCGTTCATCACGCATTCCTTTAAAAAAAATCTTACTATGCTAAAATCAACTACTTTAATATTCTCTATCATTAAGCTAGTAAAACCTACCATACGATAAGGGTAGACTTAAGAAAAACAACTAGACCAAGAAATGGTGAAAACATGAAAAAAATGTATTTCACACTAGATAAAATATTGTTTAAAACTTTTACCATAGTTTTAAAACGACATTTTAAAATCGAAGATGGCCAAGTTGTAATTTCTGTCCTTGTTTGCTTTAAAACCTATTATAAAAATGATCTACAATGGAGGCACATTCAAGAAAATACGTACAGATCAACCACTGATTATGGCTCAATGCAGAAGCATGCAGAGAAAACTGGCAAGCATAGACAGAACAGGATGATCATATGCAGAAATTTCAAAATTGGAAAAAATTGTAAGTTTTATAAATTTTAACTCGTTTGCTTCACCAATTTAAAGTGGGAGATGGACAAGTTATAATTTTTATTCTTCTTTTTTTTATCTTGTTAGAAATTTATAGCTATAAAAACAATTCGACACAATTGGGCTTTTAGAGTTTCAAAACTGTTATGTTGTTTTTGGCAGGACTGGATATTTCTTTACAAAAAAAATGTAGCTTCGTTCTCTCGGTATTACATAATGAATATCAGATCCAGGGGGAAAAAACGTAAAGACCAACCATTGAGGATGGTAAAATTCATAAGGACGGCTGTCAGACAAAACAGCATGGTGGCATGGAAAGACCAGATTGACCCGTAGACATAGATAATAGACGAAAATGGTAAGTCTTATAAACTACCTAACAACTTTTAGCCCTGTTTGCTTCAACAATTTAAAAATCGAAGGTGGCCAGGTTATAATTTATACTTATTTGCATTAAATTCTGTTAGAAAATTATACGTGTAAAGACAATTTGCCATAAGTGGGCTTTTAGACTTTCAAAACCGATACGTATTATGTTATTTCTGGCAGTACATAATATTTGTTTAAATGTTAACAATGAACATTGGGTATGTGTGAATGTAAAGAAAACAGTTAATAGAATCAATATTTTTTTTTTATTCCAGGCTTGTAAAACTAAAGAATTTTGAAGCACAAAGGGGCAGAAACATTAAAGAACCCTTATAGCTATAAAAAAATTTATGACCGATTTATATTTGTAGCCTTCGGTAAGGCGTACTTCGAACAATTCATTTTAAAACATTTATCATTCTTTTTAAAATTAAAAGCCAGCTGTTTTTTTAAGGGATGATATCTATGAACTTTTCTCGAGGGTTGCCAAAGAAGAGAAAATTTCAAATTGAGATTTAAAAAAAAAAAAGATAAATATTTATACGGGTGTACGGCTACCGGTGTTACAAACTTTGCCAGTATATTCTATATTCAAAATAAAACCAAAAAGTCCTAATTAACTATGGTCCGAATCTTAACAGTTTCGGTGTTATTCACCCTTTTTCTGATTTTTTAAAATTTCACGACCATGTTTCAAATAAACAATGATAACTCCCGAACTAAAATCTTTTGCACAAATCCATAAATACCATTGAAAAATACGTTAAATTTCCAATAGGATGTGATAAATATTAAACTTGTAAACGTTGGTGTAATAAGCGTTTCAGTAGCCAGAACAGAAATTTTTTTTTTCAAAGTAAAAAACTTACGGTGATTTTAAACTACTATTTCCAAACCTAGAGACCAGCAAATTTCAGAAAACGTATTCCATTTAATATCCCTTTTAGTGATGTAATTGCTGGTTTAATAATTACTTTTTTCAAAGATGAAGAAATGTATGAAGGAAAGGAAAAACCATTGTTGTCGCATTGGTAAGGTGGAAAGATTAAAAAAAAAAAACTAAAGGAAATTTTGAATGAATTTATTAAACGTTTTTTTAATTTGGGATCGAAACCGAAATAGTGCATGTGTTTATTTATTAATTATTTACCAACACGACGGCAGCTTTGTTTAAAGGATTATTTCGGTTTCGAACCAAATTAAAAAACGTTTAATAAATTCATTCAAAATGCCCTTAAGTTTTTTTAATCTTTACACCTTACCAATCTGTCAACCATGTTTTTTCCTTTCCTTCATAAATTTCTTCATCTTGAAAATAAGTAATTATTAAAAAAGCAATCACACCACTAAAAAGGATATTAAATGGAGTACGTTTTCTGAGATTTGCAGGTTTCTAGGTTTCGAAATGGTAGTTTAGAAATTTTTGAAATTTTTTCTTCTTCGGCAACCCTCGAGAAAAGTTCATAGACATCATCCCTTAAATAAAACAGCTGGCTTCTAATTTTAAACGGAATGTATGATGATGTCGCCGGTACCACTTTAAAATGATTTGTACGACATACGTTTTACTCAAGACTACAAAATAAAAATTGGTCACAAAATGTTTTATGCCTATAAGGGTTCTTTTATGTTTGTGACCCTTTATGCTTCGAAATTGTTTAGTTTTACAAGCCTGGGATAAAAAAAAATTGTATTGACTGTTTTCTTCAAAATGTTCATTGTTAATGTTTAAAAATTTTATGCACCGCTAGAAATAACATAATACGTATCAGTTTTGAAAATCTAAAAGCCCACTTATGGCAAAGTGTCTTTATACGTATAATTTTCTAACAGGATTTAAAGTAAATAAGCATGAAAATTATAACCTGGGCTCGTTCGATTTTCATATTGTTGAACCAAACATGGTTAAAAATTACAAAACTAAAAAAAAATTAGTTTAGGAGTTATCATTGTTTATTTTAAGCAAGGTCGTGAAATTTTAAAAATCAGATGAAGAGGAATAACTCCGAAACTGTTGAGATTTGGACCATAGTTAATTAGGACTTTTTGGTTCTATTTTGTATGTAGTATCTACTGGCAAAGTTAGCCTAACACCGTGTATAATGGATTTGCTTTTTTTTTAAATTTTTATTTTTTTATTTACGGGCAATAGCCCATTTTATTTCAATAATTACAAAAAGACAAAGAACATTTAAAATATGAAAAACAATGACAATTTAGATACCAATATTTTATGTACCGCTAGAAATAACATAATACGTATCAGTTTTGAATACAAAAGTAATAATTGGGATTTGACTAGTGATTAAAAACAATTATAAATGAGATTAATTATTATTTTTGATGACTGTTCTTTTTATTTATTAAAAAACTATTGTTTTACCTCAGAAACCGAAATATAGTGCAAATCTGCCGGATACCTTGTTTTAATATATTTTTTTGTCGTACAATCACCATATAATTTTTCAAAATTTTTCTCAATTTTGCAGTTAGCATTGTACAATGCGGTTGTTCATGATGCAGGTATAATTTATACATCGTTAATATTATCTTGATATAAACTTACCGTCGAAGGAACAGCTGTATGGCCAGTGAGGGAAGAACTGAAGGGACATCGGCCTTGTGGAATATAATAAAAAGACGTCCCAAGGCTTGGAGGGGGCACGCGCGGTTCCACACGTCACGTCGCAACACCCAACCGGTTCTGCCCCGACGTCTACATCTCCTGGGCATATAATTTTCCAATTTTCGCCCCCCCCCCATTCGACGCAAAATAAGTGACGACGAGGGTGCAGCATCGACGCAGGATGCAGATGAGGATGCAGGAATCCGCAGCTGGGGAAACAGCGTCTCGTCGACTTCATTGGTCCCTCCATCAAATCATCGGCCGATTTTCTTATTCCCAAATATCCCTCGGCTAAAAATTTATATAAAAGTTTAAATATACAAAATGATTCAGTTTTTCGTTTAAAATAAGTTCCTGTTTATAAACAAATTTGAATGATTCAATTCCCTAGTTGAGTGGTTTACATTACACTGATTCATCCAAACATACTAGTAAAACGAAAGGATAAAAAAATAGTACTAAATTACTATTAAACTACTACTCACCAATAAGTTATTCACTTAGAAAATAATAAAAGTACTCGTATTACTCTTAATAATGTTTTAAAAGAGTAAAGAATGAAAACAGGAGAGGGATGAAAAGGCAGAAAAATAGAGAGTGAGAAACAAAAAGTTGAACGGAAGAATAAGGGATGGAGAGTAGTAGACATGAGTAAAATAGAGTGCGAAAAAGAAAAAAATATAATGAGAAGGAATTGAAGAGAATTAGAGTAAGGGGATTAGTGACAATGAAGAGAGAGAAAGAGGGAGAGGGACAGGAAGAGAGACAGGGAGAGAGAGAGAATGATAGAGATAGAGAGAGAGAGAGAGAGAGAGAGAGATAGAGAGAGATAGAAAGTGAAAAAAGGAGAAAGTGAGTGAGTAAATTAAGAAGAGAAGAGTGTCAATGGGAGAAATTTAAGAGAAAGAAAAGAAAAGCTGGAGGGAGGGAAGGAGGGAGGGAGAGAGAGAGGAAAGAGAGAGTATGATTGAATTAATCGTGAAGAAAAGAGAGATAGAGATAGAGAGCGAGAGAGAGAAATGGAGAAGAGAAAGAAAAACGGGAGAGAGAGTGAGAGTGAGAGAAAGAGAGAGACAGACAGACAGACCACAGAGGTAGGGAGAGAGAGAGTGGAGAAGAATGAAGAAAAGAAAGAGAGAAGAGAGAAAGCATGAGAGAAAGAGAGAAAAGTACGAGTAAGATAATGAATGACAGTAAACCAGAAAGTGCAGAACAAAAGAGAGACAGAAATATAGAAAAAGGGGCAGAGATAAGAGTAATAGAAGAAAGAGAAAGAGAAAGAGAGAAAGAGAGAAAGAAAGAGAGAGAGAGAGAGAGAGAGAAGAGAGGAAGAGTGAGCATGAGAGAAAGAGATACTGAAAAAGTGAGAGAGAGTGGAGAATAAGCGAAGGATAGAAAGTGAGAGTGAGAGAAGAGAAAATAATGAGCATGAAAGAAAGAGATACAGAAAAAAAGAGAAAAACACAAGTAAGAGAGTCAATGATAGGAAAAAGAATGTTAAAAAAAATAGAGACAGAAATATAGAAAAAGGGACAATTAGATGAGTAATAGAATGTAAGAAAGAGAGAAATAGAAAGCAATGAACGAGGGAAAACATAGAGCGAAAGGGTAAAAATAGAAGAATAAAAGGGAATTGCTAAGAAATAAAAGGTTTTACATGTTCTGCCAAGTTTTTTTTTACTGCCAAACTGATCCCCATGCGTCTGCAAAATAAAAAACCTCCTCAACTGAGTAGCTATGCACGAACTACAGAAATTTGGATAGAAAAAATCAGTAATTCAATCGAACTATTGACAGGTTTATTACATTATGTTTCATGCTCTTATGGTATGACGAGATTTAAAATAGACCAGAAATTGTCTGTATTTCGACAATTATTTTATACAGGGGTTGTATGATACGACATCAAACGAAGCTATACTAAAACGACAATTGATATAACATAGAACTCTTCAATAATAAATAATTAAATTTAAAGAAAGTATGTGTTATAAGGAAAAATAAAATAATAAATTGTAACAATTGTGACAGGCAGAACAGAAAAAAGTTATGCTGACACAATCGTTATATCATTAATCTCAGTAACACCTTAAAAAGAAGGTCATATATCAATCCGAGATTTAGATAATACGCACTTGTAAAATATTTGATAGTTTGATTGATATATCATAAAATCTACAACAAAAATGAGTTTCGTTTTAACAAATGATTCAAACATATTAAAGTAATTTTTCTCTCGAATATAAAAGAGAGTGAGAGGGAGGGGGCGAGAGAGTGAAAGGGAGAGAGGAAAAGAAACAAACATACATTTCTTAAACATACAAAACCTTCATATACAAAAATATTAAACAAGAACAAACTTACCGACGTACGACTGAAGTTGGTGAAATGCCACAACGCGTCCGACAAATAAATCCATCGATGATAAGAAGACAAGGATGACGACAATTCCATAAAGTGCACATTTGGACATCTGCAACAGAAATAATAAACGTAGTTGTAATAACATTATTCGAAGAAACGAGTCAACGTATTATTTTATAACAAGTTAATATACTCGGAACCCTACATTAAAACATGGTAAGGAACAGTGGACGCACTTAGTTAAACCTTAGGTGCTTTAATTTGAAGCAGTACACATCCTTTACAAAATGAACAATTGGTGGGAGGAATTGAAAATCCAATAATCCAATGTATCAATTTCAAAGTATCAACATTACCATTGGCTGTACATTTGATATAACACTAGCCATAGATCACATTAGAACGGTAAGCATAACAAGGATTGCAGTAGTTCTTGCAGACAGTTCTGTGGCATTATGAAAGGACTACCCTGACTCAAAAGGGAATTCAGGAAAACTTGAATATTCTACTAGATATAAATGGTACTTGAGGTTTCTAAGGAAAATTAGGACATCTGAGAGCAGAACGTCGAAGGTTTGAAATATGGCCAGTCCAAACCTAAACAAGGATGTGATAATCTATAATAAAAGTTCCTTCCCAACGTTGCGTACATATGAGCCAATGAGAGCCACTCCTCTAAGACACGATGCACGGAATATGAAAGACCAAAAATACAAGCTATTGTCTATTAGAGGTAATGAACTTTAGGACTTATTTACTACAAAGAAAGTGCGACGATGATTCGGATAGGAATGCCGCGATGGTATAGATGCACAATTGATGACGAGTTGACTTGCCAATCAACAAGTTTAGTACGTATTCTGAGAAACGGTGCACAAAATGTCTTTTAGACCAAATAGTGAACATATTAGAAAAGATTAAAGTAATTTTTCCAAAATAAGGATTCAGTGGTACAAGAACTATGAGAGAATAATAACGTAAAATGCCCGAAGGCTTTCTCTTAAGTTTTAGTCATATTTCACGTCACTATGTCATCATGTAATAGCTCATTTTCACTGGGGTAATGTTTATATTATAGATTGAAAATATCATTTTTCTTCCCACTGACATTTGAACTGATACGACCTAGGTAGTTTTGATTGCTAAAAGTTTGATAAATGTTATCTTTTTTGAGAATTGTCTAATTCTTAGGTTTTTTATATAAACCAAAGATAAAAACCATCAGGCAAAGCTTATAATTATTACTTTAAGACTTCCTTCCCGATCCTAAAATTTAACAAGCCATATGTCAAAATCTTTCCAACTAATTTTTTTTCTCTAGTGATTTACATCGGATTTACATTACATACGGACATTTCGAGCCCTAACTCACTATAATTTGGAATGATTGCGTCCTAGGCATTGATTGTTATTATGATTGATTAATTTTTAATGATATTTTGGCTTTTGTAGCCAGATTTCCCATTGTTTTCCGATCGACAAAGAGGCCGCTTCAGCCCACATACGACCCCTATCCAGTCTGCCAAGCAGATGTGGTAAGATTAATGAAAAATAATGTAAAACAAAAGTGGAAAAATCGCTGGGCACAAAATTATGTCGAATTACGGTGGAAGGCATTGGTCCCTGGCGCACGGATGCCGTATCGAGAAGAGAAAGGGCAAAACGTACCAGGTCGTATAGGTCAAACTCGGCTTACACATGGGCACTTGCTGGCGGGAAAGAGCAACTATATCACGAAAGATTATGTGTGGAACATATTTTACAACGCAGAAAACTAGAAGCCTGCAGGTATGAGCTATGGAGTTCCTGTTGACCTATGCTTTGCCTTACGACACGACCAGTGGGCACGGATCGCTGTTTCAGTACCTTAGGCTATAAGAATTTTTAAATATACGTTCTGTGTGTTTTACGTATTATGTGTGTGAATGTAATTTATTAGCGGGAATGGAGGCGCCCCGACGATTATTGAGTACTCTAGGGAAACTAGTGGTTTCCAGAAAGTTGAAGTAATTTATTAGCGTGCATGGAGGGTTTAAACTCGTTCTTAGGAATATCAAGTACTCTGGGGTGAGTGTGTTTTCTGGAGAGTTAAATTAATTTATTAGCGTGAATGGAGGGTTATAAACCTTCTCTTAGGACTATCAGGTACTCTAAAGTGAGAGTGTGTTTTATAGAGAATTAAAGTAATTTATTAGCGTGAATGGAGGGTAAAACCATCTCTTAGGAATATCAAGTACACTGGTGTTAGAGTGTGTTTTCAGGAGAGTTAAAGTAATTTATTGGCGTGAATGGAGGGTTTAAACCCTCTGTTAGGAATATCAAGTACTCTGGAGGAGTGAATGTGACCAGATTTGTCTTGTTATAAGAGGTGACAAGATATCAGCGTCATCGGAATATCCATGCTTTCCCGTTGCGGGACTAAAGCCCTGGTGGGGTTCCTCCATACAATACACTGTACGGGTGGTTCCATCCGGGAGTCAGGCTTCTTGTCTCTAGCGGTTTCCAAGGGAGGGGGAAGCTTGAAAATCTTTTGTGTTATGTGATTATGATTTTCTTGTTCTCTTAATTGCTAATAAGTAGCATGAGGTACTTTCAGAGGTCAACAATTGAAGAAAATATGAGACAGTCAGTGTCAAAGATGCGGGAAAGAAAGACAATGACCACATGATGTTTGTCGGCTCATAAATAATACATTCATACATTTTCCGGTCAAGAGAGTCGAGGATAGGCAGACTAGGCTGTCAATCAAACACTATAAAATTAATTTCAATGTTATCACAAACAAATTGAACTGAAAAAATAATCCTACAGAAGATTTAAGAAATCCAGCATGCTTTGTTTATCCTCATTTAAAAACAACTAAAGTTTAGTGTTGATTTTTTGTAAATAAACAGAGAATTACAGACCTATCATCTGCAACAAAACAATACTGGATGGAGTTCATTGTTCAGTAGAAATCCAGCTTTTAAAACAAGAGTTATTAGAGCTAACTGTCTTTACAGTTTCACATGAAAAGTATGGACTTCTGGAACTACGACTCATTTTTTAGTGAAAACATACACTCACGAAAATGTGGTAAAACTTTTTTAATTATCTTTTTCATCCAACTGCAAAAATACTTTTGCAGCCTATAAAGTTATTGGTGAATCAGTTGAAAATCCAAAAAATTAATATTTTAGAATTTAAACAACAGAACAATTTCAAAAATTTAGCTAAGACAGTAATAAAAAATTTATAAGCTGAGCTATCTGAATTTGTAACTATTTAAATACTTTATTGCGCCATTCAACTTGAAATATGAATTAAATTTAACCTCAATCCATTAAGAGGACAAATAAATAACTAATTAAGCAAGGAATTTGGTAATGGATTTTAATTATTAATAAAAATTGTTATATTATTAATTAAGTACTTAATTTTTAAGGTGTCAAAAAATTTGATTGATATGTAAATGAATATTTCTTTTTTGCAATAGATTTTTTCTAAGACTCTTTTAAATTTACTTCATTTTACTATTATTCAGATTAATAATTATCCAATTTAATAAGTATAATAATTTTTGACTGATATTTATTTAAATTTAGTATTGAAATTGTATCAATGGAGTTGAAACATGCAGTAGGACTAGGGATACCTTTTAATTTTTAGTCAATTAGGAATTTTGTTACATAAGTTTAATGTTAAATATGTTGGAATTGGAAATAAATGAACTGAGCAAAACATTTCTGGGTTGATTTTGTGATTTGCAAATTTTTTACACAGCCTAACTAGCCATGTACAGACAGTCTTATATCATTAAGGACCATTATTTTATTTGTTTATTTTATTAGGCACCTAGATTTTAACGAGGGTTCGCAACAGCAGAGGTTATATCAACCCTCGGGGTGCCGGTGTTTTTGAAAAAAAAAAAAAAAAATCATTTGTAAAAGTATATTGGGTTCTAATGCAGGGCCATTGCCTAAACCGTTGCGGCCACCGATGCCCCCTATTACCTGGTTGTAAGCATGAATTGAAAGGTAATTTTTTTTTTAATAATAAATCTGGACATCCATCAAGGTATGAAACGGCCTACAAATACTTGCAATAAGTATCAGAAGATGGATATGAAATAGAAAATCCTGCCAAAATTGAACTGACATACCAAAACAGATCAAACCCCAACTTCATTTTTCATCATACCACTCACTGACTTTAAAGAAATTTCATAGTGAAATTAGTTATTATAAGCACAATAATTAATAATTCTTCTGCTAATTTTATTGACACTGACCTCTTTAATGGGTACATATATTTTAATGGATAAACCTTTTAAGATTATTTTATTTATTTTAAAGATAACTTAAAATTGTTTGAAACTAATGTTTTAGATGAACTCAAACTCTATTTTTTATCAATTAAGTTATTAAAAAGAACTTTATTAACTTTGAAAAGCAACAACTATTAAACAATTTTATAATTGATTTTTACAAATTATTAAAACAATCAGAAAGTGATTGAAATATTTTAACTATTATTAATTAATTAATATATGTTTCACAGTCATAATTGACGTATTAATTATTTCAAGTAATTACACTTCTTATCTAAAGTCTTGATATGAAAAAGTTATTGTCACGAACGAGATTCGAACCTGTGACCTTCGGCTCAATACACTGCTGCTTTAACCACTTGTCACGATAGCTCAAGTGGTTAGAGTAGCAGTATATTGAGCTGAAGATTGTGGGTTCAAATCCCGCTCATGATACTTCCTTTTTCATCTCAACCAAGGCCTTAGATAAAAAGTATGATTACATGAAATTATTATTTGGCATTTTAGCTACTCACAATCAGCATTTTTATCACAAGTTTCTTTTCTTTATTATAAAAATTGCGAAACATTATTGTGTAGTTTCCGATCATCTAGTTCTGCTTCACTGCTTTGTCCAATCAAACATATTTCAACACTAAACCTTCTTCAGTGGTTGGTTTGTCTAGTTTTATAATTTTAAAACAGACTGACCACTGAACGTTGGAGAAATGCTGAAACATGTCTGGCAGATTAACCCAGAAGCAGCCCAAATGATTGGTAATGACCAAATTTCAAGCTCACCAACACAGAGAAATCTCATAATTAATTTGTCATTAAATAATAGAACAATAAATATGTGTTCCTTAGTGACCTGTTGTTTCATAATTTGTTGAAGTCATGGGGAACAGTCAAGAATGAAGTAGTTTAGAAAAACACCTTTTTTCACTTTTTTGCCGACGTTTCGACCAATATGACACCACAAGATTAGTACCACAATTTATGCCCTAAAGATGTTCCAAATAAAGGTCAAAACATTGGCCAAAAAAATGAAAAAAAGGTGTTTTTCTAAACTACCTCATTTTTTACTGATCCTCACAAATTCAAAAAATTAATAAATAATATTTTATTATATATAACAAAAAGTCCTTTTTAATTACAGATGTCTGCCTCAGCATGAGGATACTAAGGAGCGGGGTTTTTGTTCCCCAAGCACTGCAACATTCTGGCAAATTGTACCTTTTGCCTCAGCATTAATTGAACTTCTTTTCAATATTATTATAACAGCTTGCCATATTCATTTTCTCAAAACAATTTTTAATCAATATATCAGGATGCATTTTTGATGTGGAAATTTGGAAAAATAAAGTTTCAGTTCTTGTTTAAAAAGAATTATAGAAGAAAAAATTATATGCACCTTAAAAATAAAATATGACTCAAGATAGAACATGGATGATAACAAAACCTAACTATTCAATAAGCAAGACCTAAACCATAGTTACTACCATCAAATTTGAATTTTAAATTTCAAGCAAGTAGTTTTTTTTAAACTATCATTTAATATTCCTAAAGATGGTATATTAATTGCACTTTCTTTGGTTTTATCATAACAATCAAAAATAATAAAATGTACAAATTTTTAAATAATTTCAGAAGCTATTGTGGCATTTATGAATTGTTTTTATCATTTATTATAAATTGAATATAATCACTTCTATAACATCTTACTATGTAGATTTGTAATTAAATATATAAATAATATATTAAACAGAATGTTTTCATTAGCCGATGATTATTCGGAGATCGTGAGGTGCGGTCTGGTGTGACGTAGCTTTTAGAAAATCAATTTCTTTATCATGCCAACGTTTCGATCTTTATTGAGATCATCTTCAGGGCCTGGGATTTATAAACATTGTTTAAATTTTACAAATACCTGTAGGATGTAAAAAAAAAAGAAGGAAAAAAAGAATTTGTACAATGCTATACTCTTTGTTCTTTTTTCACATCCTATATGTATTTGTAAAATTTAAACAATGTTTATAAATCCCAGGCCCTGAAGATGATCTTAATAAAGATTGAAACGTTGGCGCGATAAAGAAAATGTTTTTCTAAACCTATGTCACACCACACCGCATCTCACGATCTGTGAATAATCGTTAATTAATGGTCACTAAACACAACACATTAAATATATAAATAATTTATTAAACAGATTTTTTTAAAAATAACTTGTGTTTGCTGGGTCTGCAATAAATTAGCCACCATCGTGGTAATTGTGGCTTTTATGAACTGTTCTTATCATTCATTATAAATTCACTATAATTACTCCTTACAACTTACTGTGTAGATTTGTAATTGTGAATGTATAAATAATTTATTAAACAGATTTTTTTAAACTGGTGTTTAAATGTGCAGTTTTTAGTGACTGTTAGCCAATGATTATTTGGAGATCGTGAGGTGCGGTCTGGTGTGACGTAGGCTTTAGTAAAACATTTTTTCTATTATGCCAACATTTCGATCTTTATTGAGATCATCTTCTGTGTAAAAATATGTAAACAAAAAAGAAAGAAAAAATGAATTTATACTCTTTGTTCCTTTTTTACATCCTACATGTATTTGTAAAATTTAAGCAATGTTTATAAATCCCAGGCTCTGAAGATGATCTCAATAAAGATTGAAATGTTGGCACGACAAAGAAAATGTTTTTCTAAATCTACGTCACACCAGACCGCATCTCACGATCTCTAAATAATCATTAATTAACAGTCACTAAACATGATACATGTGTAGAGATTAGTGACCATTAATCGATAGTAATTCATATATCGTGAGATGCGGTCTGGTATGATGTAGGTTTCAGAAAAACATTTTCTTTATCGTGCCAACGTTTCGATCTTTTATTGAGATCATCTTCAGGGCCTGGGATTTACAAACAATGTTTACATTTAACAAATACATTTAGGATGTGGATAAGTGTGTTGTATAAATTCACTTATCCACATCCTAAATGTATTTGTTAAATGTAAACATTGTTTGTAAATCCCAGGCCCTGAAGATGATCTCAATAAAAGATCGAAACGTTGGCACGATAAAGAAAATGTTTTTCTGAAACCTACATCACACCCGACCGCATCTCACGATATATGAATTACTAAACATGATACATTAAATATATACATAATTTATTAAACATAAACGTTTTTTTAATAACTGGTATTTGTTGGGTCTGTATTAAATTAGCCGCCATTGCGGTAATTGTCACATTTATGACCTCTTCTTATCATTTGTTAGAAATACAATATAATTACTACTGTAACAACTTACTATGTAGATTCGCAATTAAATATATAAATAATTTACTAAACATAAAGTTTTGTTTTAATAACTGGTGTTTGTTGGTGTCTGTATTGGTTTGGTGGCCATTGGGTAATTGTGTCATTTGTGAACTATTTTTTATCATTCGTTAGAGCTTCAATTTTTAATTAATGCTGTAAACACTTACTGTGTTGTATTTTCTCAAGCTTTTAATAACTATTTTCTTTTGTATATTTTCTTTTGACATTTTAAAACAAATAAATTTCCTGGGAGTCATTTGTTTTTGTCTCCTGTTTTATCCTGACGGCCGGCGAACGGTTCGAAAAGGGGAGGGAAAGTCAAACAGTTGATCTGACGGTCGCCTTACTCGAAAATAAGAAACTCCGGGAGAAATCGTTGAAACAAATTTTTAAAATTTTTCAATAAATGTTCGATTTTTAAACCGGTTTTCGGATTGTATTAGTCAATTAATAAAACGAAGCTCGGAGCAGTTCTGCCCTTACGATATTGATAACGGCCCGATTGACTAGATTCGGTCGGGTTCGTTTCGGTCCATCCTCCTTATAACCCTAATCTTAAAGCGAGATTTATTCAAAAGTCCGTCTCGAGGAAAAGCGATTTTTTCCCGACGGAACGAGCCGTCGGACGAGGAGAAAAGCGGAAAATTCATTTTTAAGGGTATTTTAGCGCATGCCTGTTCTTACCTTCACATCGAACGAGTAACGGTAGCCATTTTGGTTCTTTGCTGTACACACGGATACAGAAAGACGCTTAGTGACCCGGCGCCTAATTGTTCAACATTTGTAAAATGCGCGTTAAAACCGAGATGGACGAGGACGAGCAAGGGTAAGCATTTTATTAACAATTACCAGGGAGGCGGAGGTGTCGGAAAAACCCCAATTTTACGGATCTCACCCTTTTTCCTATTTCCCTTTCGGCTTCAATCCAGTCCGTCAAGCCACTTTCCATTTAAGCCATATTGGAAATTAAATCGGGTTTTTTTCTCCGACGCCGCCGCCCCCGGCACGTTTCCACCGCATTTTTATCCAATTTACACCCTTTTCCAATTTAAATCGGCCGGTTTTCGATTTGTACGAGTTCGCCCCGTTCTTTTATTACGGAATTCGCACCCGGAGGGGAGTTGGCCGTTCGCAACTGGATCCCAGGATTTTCCCACGTGACCCGTCCCGTTTCCAGTTCGACCGGCCGTTTTCCGCCCCCGTATGGAAATCCGTCGAATCCAGTCAATTCCGTCACCAAGGAAATTTAACATTTATTTTATCGATCTCATCCCTAGAACTGTGAAAACTCGGAATTAAAACGATTCCCGAATAAATATTAAGCCTTTAAAGCTCGACCCAGCAATAAAAATATGTTTTCAGTATGACCGCCTGAAACGGCATTTTGACATATGCTGACCGCTTATACACATTTGTTGCTTGAACCCTTTCAACTTGACATATGGCTAGTCAAATTTTCAACAATCGTCTAATTTTAACATATTCCTGACTATTTCTATCCAAGGCTTGACCAAAATCCATTTAGACAAAAGTTATGAACGATTAAGAAAGAAAAAACCACTAATCTATAAAAATTCCACATCTGTTTCCACACGATTTTCTTCCCAAAACCTTTAGGGTTACAATTTTAAATAAATGATTAAAATGTTAATATTATATTTACAGGCTGCATTACAGCACTTGACATATGCTAGTTATTTCTTCAATTGTGAAGGGCTATCATAAAATAAAAATTTGATGGTGTTAGATGATGCAGTTTTAGTACAGGTTTGATGAAAAAGGTTCATAACATATAGCAACCAGTTTGGAGACTAGTAAAATTCTCTGAAAACAGACTTAGTTCAGTTTTTAAAATGTTTAACTGTACTTGGCAGCTGGTTATTCCTTCTGCTTTACTTTCCATCCATGATGGGCATATTGACCCTTATTTTGAATTAAAAATTTGGTGGTGTTAAAGGATGCAGTTTTCGTGCAGGTTTCATAAAAAAAGGTTCATAAAGTATAGCAACCAGTTTGGAGACTAGTAAAATTCTCTGAAAACAGACTTAGTTTAGTTTTTAAAATGTTTAACTGTACTTGGCATCTGGTTATTCCTTCTACTTTACTTATCATCCATGAAGGGCATATTGACCCTTTGAATTAAAAATTTGGCAATGTTAGATGCTGCAGTTTTAGAGATACTGATTTAGAATTAGATGATGCAGTTTGATGGAAAACTTAAAAAGTTTATCATTTACCTGTTTGGGGCTTAGTAAATACCTCTAGAAACCAATTTAGTTGTTCATGTTAAAATGATTGTACATGACATATGGTGGATATTTCATCGATTGTATTTTTCTGTGAAGGGCTATCCCCAATTAAATTTTTTGTGGTGTTGGATGGTGTAGTTGTAGTGTAGATTTGACAAAAAAGCTTAAAAATTTGATTGACCTGTGTGGAGATTAGCAAATTTTTCTAGAACCAGGGTTAGTTTTGGTTTTTAGAATGTTTATGAGTGTACTTGGTATATGGTGGTTATTTAATCAATCGTACTTCTAAATCTTGAATAGCATAATTAACCTTTTCTCAAATTAAAAATTTAGTGTGGTTAGATGATGCAGTTTTAGAGTAGATTGATGAAATTTTTCTCCAAACAGGGTTAGTTTTGGTTTTTAGATTATCAATGTACTTGACATTTGCTGGTTTTTTCATCAATCTTACTTTTCAATAGTGAAGTGCTATCGCAAATTAAAAGTTAAAATGATGTAGTTTAAGTGTACGCTTGACGAAAAAAGCTTCAAAAGGATAACATTTTGGAGATTAATAAATTTCTCTAGTACCAGGGTTAGTGTTTGGTTTTTAGAATGTTTATGAGAATATTTGGCATATGGTGTTTATTTCATCAATTGTACTTTTAAATCATGAGAGGCCACCTCGAATTAAAAATTTGGTGGTGTTAGATGATGTAGCTTTAAGAGCTTCAAAAATTATAAGTTGAGTTTTCATTGACCTGTTTGTAGTGCATTAAAATCCTCTAGAAACAGACTTAGTTTTGTTTTTCAAAAAGTTGATGAGTGTACTTGGCAAATGCTGGGTATTTCATCAATCTTACTTTTTAGTCATGAAGGACTAACTGAAATTAAAAATTTGGTGGTGTTAGATGATGTAGTTTTAGTGCAGGTTTGATTAAAAACCTTCAAAAGTTATAAGTTATTGACCTGTTTGGAGAGCATTAAAATCCTCTAAAAGTGTCACTCATACTTTTCAATCGTGAAGTGCTTTCTCGAATTGAAAATTTGGAGGTGATGTAGTTGTAGTGCAGGCTTGATGAAAAAGCTTCAAAAGGATAACTGTACCAATTTGGAGATTAGTAAACTTCTCTAGAGACAAGGTTAGTTTTGGTTTTTAGAATGGCATCTGGTTATTTCTTCTGTTTTATTTTTCATCTGTGAAAGGCATATTGATCCTTATAACAAATATAAAATTTGGCAAATATACTTTCAGTGTAAGTTGGACGAAAAAGCTTCAAAACTTAAAAATAAACCAGAATGGAACACGGTAAAATCTCTAGAGGGTTAGTTTTATAAAAATGGTCAAAATGTTTGTTAATATAGCATAAACTGCACAAAATTGAATAGGAATATTTGAAATTTATTCTTATTAATTCTTAATTTTAATTTAGAATTAACCGATATATTCGTATTAATTGGATAAACCAAAAATCCACTTGCCAGTGACCTCGATGACATTCTCACAATAATATTGCGAACTTCAGGTTCAAGATGATGTCTCTGCTGTTAAAGAGAATACAACTGGATTAAAATGGAGAAAAGACAAGAAAAGTGTTTGTTTTGTTTATAAAATGAGTAATTTTCATGTTTAATATTCTTAAGGAAATTCATTATTAAAAAAGAGGATTAACATTTTTTGTTTGTTTTTGGTTTGTATTTTCTACTTTGCTTTATACAACTAACAAGAATATTTCGGTAAATTTAATAATATACAATTATCCCTATTCATTTTTGTGCACTTTATATTGGGTACTTTTTCATCTATTATTTCTGCTGTGAAAAGTGTATTGCTTATCTTAAATTAAAAATTTGGTGGTGCTAGATGATTTAATTTTAGTGTAAGTTTGTTAAAAGTTTGAAAGTAAAAATAATAATGAACCAGTTTCAGACAAATAAATTTCACTAGGAACAGGGTTAATTTGATACAAATGGCCAAAATGTTGATGAAAGTATTGACATATGTTGGAATTTCTTCATCTAATATTTCTGATGTGAAGGGCCTATCACTACTCATCAACCCGAATTTACAGTTTATTGATACAAGATGATGAAATTTTAGGGCAAATCAAATGTTCCAAAAGTTGAAATAATAATCGATCAGTTTAGATATAAGCAAATCAGTAGAAAAGGGGTCAATTTTATGAAGATAGGACAAAATGTTTAAGAAAGTAACCTGACTTGTTGGGTATTTTTCATTATACTTTTTCTGTCGTGAAGGGCGATGCTCATTTACATGACTAAAAAAAAAGAATGGTGCTGCTAGACGATGTGATTGCAGTGCTGATTTGGCCAAAAAGCTTCAAAAGCAAAATTTATAGCTGAATATTTTTAAATTAAAAAATCGAAAGATAAGGCTAAAGAGGTAGATGATGAAGGAACACACTTACATTTTTCCCTTTTTCAAATTGTCCTTTCTGTTTGTTTTTAAAAAATTTTTTTAGTACAAACTTAATTTATTGAAGGCAGAAATCAATTATCTAGAAATAATTCATATGGTTACAAATATCTTGATACTATTTGACTAAACTCGAAGAAAGTGAGTTAATTCCACAGTCTACTTTTCAGTTGTGGTGAGCAAATTGGCAGTCAGCTTACATTTTTAAATGTGCTGAAGCTAGTCGAGCTTTGTTAGTGTCGATTTGTACAAAAAGCTTCAAAAATTGAAATTATAACTGCCCAGTTTGTAGACTTGTTAATTTCTGTACGAGCATTCAGGATTAGTTTTATGAAAATAGTTTTTTTAAGTACTAAGGGAGCTCAACCCCCTGCTCTCTTTGCTTGCTGACCTTCAGACTGCTTTGCTGCTGCTCGTGGTTTCGCCACTCCATTTTTTCATTGCCCTCTCATCCCTCACAAAAACCTAGTAGGCGACCCATGGGCAGGAGAGCAGTGCCCCCATTAGTTTTATACAATAGGTAAAAGAAGAGCAACTCCAAATAAATGAGCTCAAAAACTTACGTGCCTCTAGATTTTTATCAGGTTGGCTTAAAAAAAAAAGCCTCGAAAGCAAAATTTATAGCTAAATTTTTTTAAATTAAAAAAATCCAAAGATAAGGCTAAAGAGGTAAATGATGAAGGAACTTAGCATTTTTCCCTTTTTCAAATTGTCCTTTCTGTTGTATTGTAACTTTGCGAATTGTAATCTGTTTTTCCCAATTATTTTTTTATTCAATTGGTATTAAATAGCTGTTTAAGTACTGTGTAAAAAAAGAAAAAAATACAGTCCTTGTGGAAATTTGTTCACAATTTTAATCCAAACAAAAAACTCACAGCTCACTTCCGTATTAAAATAATTACTGAAAGCAATTGATTGCAAATTTCAAATTAGGTTTATTTTGTAGAAAAAAGTTACTCTTTCCAATTATGTATGAGATGGTTTCTTAAAGATTAAACTGAGAAAGTAGTGCGAAGTGAAAAGTTTTATTGAAATTTTGTTTATCCTCCCCCTATTTTTTCTCTTTCTAAACCATTAAAATCGTATAAAGGGGGGCGTTGGTGGCCACAATGGTTTAGGCGTTGACATGGCGCTCATCACTGTAAAAGGTACAGGTCCCGGGTTCGAATCCAGCAGTCCTGCTTCGAATCCTACATACTTACACTGCCGTTGCGAACCCTCGTTAAAAAAAATTATGATAATACAAAAATCGTATAGATCCTTCGTAAGAGTATATTGCTCACCATATTGATTTTAAAATTTGGTAATGCTAGAAAAAAGCTTCAGATGTTAAAATTTCAACCAGCCTTTGACATATGCTAGACAATTTCTACATTTGCAGTTCATTCGGGTTGGGTTTGCCATGGTACTAGCATAAATCCAGTTGAAATTTGGTCAAAATTTTTTAAAATTTAAGTTAGATCAAAAGCTTTAAAAAGCACAGTTTGACTTGTAAACTCAACTGGTTTTTGGTATTGGTAAGCTCAAATCTTAATAAAATCCAAACAGGTGCCAGGCATTTTGTCTTGAGGGATCGTTGCGCCCAATTTTAGGTATTCAAACATATATCCCAAATTAAAATGATAAATTTTAACATTCAGACATATTACCTTCAGGCAATAAATAAAAAAATCACAATGAACCTTCTGTTGGGTTTATCTACATGCCATTGGAGGGAAGGGCTCCAAGTACTACTTGAAAAGCAATACATTGTACAGATGTTTAAAAAACGTAACAATTAAAAAATATATTTAGAACGATGATTTTAACAGGACTAGATAAAAAGCATCTATATATTTTGTTTGATTTTTAAAAATCTAGTTTGAATCCATATTACTCGACAATTGTAAGTTTTGTGAAATTATCACGCTGTTTAGCCAAACTGTTCAACTTAGGGAAATAAAGAAAAGAAATTATTTTATTTACAAGGAATGTAGTGGTAAAACCTTCCGGATTTAATATTTTTAATAAATGAAGTAACTGCTAGTGAAGGTTTTCAATAAATTTATGCACTTAAATGATAATTTTAAATTTATATTCTCTCTTGAATTCTATATTTTTAATAAAAGGTTTGACCATTTTGCTACTTACAAATACGTTCAGGTATGAAAATCAGAATCAAATGAAAGAGATATATATTTTTAGCTTCATAAAATAAATCTTTCCACTATATACTTATAGAAAAGTAATTTATGCATGTGCCACTTAATTAATACATCTACTCCCTGAACCTATTAAATGGCTTTCCATATTAATTACTCTGCCCAGTTAAAATGGCCGTAATTGTAAGTCACGATTTGACCTGAAAATTAAGTTCATAAAAGTATTTGATGCTTACAGATATGATATAAAATAAGTAAATATAATAATTAAATGTAATAAATAGTGTTATATTTGAAAGGAATGAACAGCAAAATAAATGTTTATTTGTATTAATCTTTATGCAACACCTTTACTTTTTATATTATGAACTAAATGCAGGCTTTCAAACCAGTCTTATCGTGGTATTTTTCAAGTATGTTACAACTCTAGTTGCTCTCTAGTGTTCTTATTTTATCAATTTTTTTTCTTGTTTAATTAACATTATATATTCCATATTTACTTAATGGTCATAAGTGACCATATTAATTATTCCATTTAATTATTCATTTTATCTAAGGTTTTTGGTTGAGATAAAATATTAGTGTCATGGGCGGGATTCAAACCCACGACATTTGGGTTTAAATACGACTGAAAATATGGCAAAAAGAGGGAAAATTCAAACAGTTGTAGGTTGAGATGGGGAGTTGGTGTCCGGAAGGGATCGAAGTCACGATAGCTCAAGTGGCTAAAGCAGCCGAAGGTTGTGGGTTCAAATCCTGCTCATGACACTAATTTTTCATCTCAGCCAAAAAACCTTAGATAAAAAGACTAATTAATTGGGATTATATATTATTTTGATTGGGTATAAAAATCAATGTTTCTTCGATGTTTCTTCATGTAAACAAGAAAGTAGAAGATGAAAAATTCATTAGGTTATATTCTCTACATAATCTGTGATGGTTTTTTTTTAACTTGAAATTGGTAAAAATTACCTGAAAATTAGGATTCAATTTAGTTGAGATAAGCTTTTAAACCAGAAGGTTGTTGGAAGTTCATTGACCTCGAATCAAACAAAGTCCATTGGCTTTTACAAGCTTAAACGACCTATTTTTTTTTTTTTTTTTTTTTTTTTAATACCAATTCCTTTCTACATCACAAATCAAGTTAGAAGTAACTGTTTCAATGAATAAAAAAATGAAAATTAAATATATTAGTTTTGTGCCTGTTTGTATTGTAGAAAGGTTAATGACCAACCATGTGGTTAATGTCACTAGAAAAAAAATATACGTACTTCTGCATTAAATAAATTAATCTGCTCTGTCATAGTTTAAATTGTAGTTAATGTATTTAATTTTTTACCCTTATACGTGAGTAAATTAACCTATTATGTTTTGCTTTACAGAAAACTTTTTGTTGGCGGGCTTAGTTGGGAGACCAGCCAAGGTAATATAAACAAAATTAATAATAAATATATTTCCCCCTACTTAACGATGTTTTTGTTTCTGTCTGCAGAAAATCTTCAGAGATATTTCAGCCGCTATGGGGAGGTGATCGACTGCGTAGTTATGAAAAATAGTGAAAGCGGCAGGTCGAGGGGTTTTGGATTTGTCACCTTCTCCGACCCTGAAAACGTGCCGCTTGTCATCCAAAATGGCCCACACCAGCTGGATGGGCGTACGGTGAGTGCTAGGCAAAAATTGACTAAAAGGAAAAAATTGTTAACAATCGCAAACAAGAACTTTCGATTTTCTTGGCCTGTTGTTTGAAACTAAATTATTTTGTATTTAGTTGATATGCAAAATTAATTCATAACTTTGATATTATTTTAAATAAATATCCTCCCATCTCTTGAAAGATAGAGTTAAATTGCAAAATATATTTTTTTTTTATCTGTTTCAATAATCTTGATTCATTATACCATCCTACAAAGTATGTCATAACAATTTTTTGTTCATTGCTATCATTAAATGGTAGTAGACATTCGTGTATTTCTCCCAAAAACTTTTAAAAATAGCAGTGCAACCAGTGTTTAATTACCTGACTTTTAAAAAAGTTTTCTTGATCATTTGACTTTTCAGTACGAAAGGGTAAGAAAATTTGTTAAACAAAATGCTTGTGAATGTTGAAAGTATAAAGTGACAGGCCACTTTCTAATTTTGGAAATCCATTATTCTCATAATCCATTCTGAATGGGGTTAGCTCATGGTTTATGGTCTTACCTGAGCAATTAGCCCTTTTGAAAAGCTGCCATTTTAATCATGGCTAAGAACTTTCATCTTATGGTTTCCCCCGTAGGGTTTGAACTATTGGTTATTATTATTAGTGGTTATAATAAATAACCTAATTTATGCCTAATGAACATTTTTATTAATAAATGAATATTGTATGTTTTCGGGCAAAGATCCCTGAAAAGTTGGTGAACGTAAAGGAAAAAAGTACAAACTGTTTTTCAAATAACGATGACTGAATCCCACACCTACAGTCAATTATAAATTTTGTTTATAAAAAATAACAATATATTCTATTTTTTTTTTTACTGTATGCAAGATTGGACAACACAAAATCACCATTGATTGATTGTTTTATATACCGCCCATCAAAAAGAAAAAGAAGAAAAACTGGTTTTCGAAAAAAGGCCAACTTTGGAAATGCATATTTTCTCAGCCTTTTAACTCACAGATCTATTGGCTAGAAGATGAACAAGATTGCTATTTTAAATATTTTTGTACCTTTAGACTTTCATCAGTAAATTCAAAAATTCGGGAACACATTAATTTTTGCACTTTTTACAACTTCAAATTGAGCTTTGACGCCAGAAAATTGTCCTTTAGCAATCGATAGGAAATTTTAATAAGATTTCTATTGGTCACTTTCCACTTTGCCCAATTTCTGAACCGTTTTTGAGTTATTCGCGATTTTTGGGCAAAAAAAAGCACGAGTAGCAATTCACCCTGTATATCAATACATTGCGAATTATGAAAAATTTATAAAAAATATTTTAACAAACGGGCTTGGATAAACGGGTTTCCACTGTATTTACATATATTTTAATGAAAGTTCCTTTTATGAATTTTCCTTTATTTATGGAACATTTTGTAGTTTTATTATTTGCAACATTTCTCAAACAGGTTGTTCACAATATAATTCATTAGTTTTAAATGTTAATAATACACTGAGAGGGGAAAAAAAGTGGCCACTCTTAATATGTTAAATTATTTCTTAGACAATCCTCCATTGATTATTATTATGCGTTGGCATAGTGCCCACTGTAAGGTAAAAGGTAATTGTCCCAGGTTCGAATCCAGCGACCCTGCAATCAAACCTGGCATACTTACAAATGGGTAAAAAACAACAACACCCCATGGGTTATTATAACCTCTGCTGTTACAAACCCTTATTAAAAAAAAGAAAAAAAAATTTTTTTTTGAAGAGTACCTCTGTTGTTTTTTTGTAAAGCTTCTTTCTAACATTCCGGGTTTGATTTTTTTTAAGTTGAACCATTTTTAAGGTTCGAATTTGTTTGAGAGATGTTTCTAAGCGATACAGATTCGGTTAGAATCAGAATAGCTGGATTACGTGCAAGAAGACCATTGTTATAGAACTTCTCGGTTAAATTTAGAAGAAATCTCATCTGTTGGTGTTAGCAAGATTGGACTAAAATCTTGTATTCAGATGAGGCTTTGTTTTGTGGTCTTCTGATGGCCGAAAGAGGGTTCATAGAAGAACTGGAGAGCGATATATCCCTGAAACATTTTCACTCTGGAGAACCTGTGGAGGTGGTGGTGTTTTGGCCTGGGTAGGCATTTCTCTGGAAGATCGCACAAACTTGGTCTTCATTGGTTCTATAACAGTGGCACGATACATTGAAGATGTGTTATTAGAAGTTGACTAATAATCCACTATTTGGCGATGGTTTAATTTTTATGCATGACAGCTAGGATCATTTCTGACTACTTGGAATGTGCTTCAATTTAATTCTTGGAATGGCCAACATGTAGGCCTGACTTAAACCCTATCAAACAGCCTTGGGATGAGTTGTCAGAGAGAGTAAAACATATCCCAGTGATGTCAGAAAGTTTGCAGGAATTAAGAATTACGCTGTTGGAAGTGTATGAAAATATTCCACCAGCATTTCATTCAAACCGCATAAAATCATCGAATTCAAGTGTTGATTACCTGAAGAGGAGGCATTTCTTCTTATGGAATTGAATATTTTCTTCATTGTCAATAGCAACATTTTTAAAATTGTTGTTCTCAGTTTAATTTTTGGTTTAGCTTTATCTTAGTTTTCTTTAAAAATATCCAGTAAAAAAAATATAAATATTGAAATTACCAAAAAAACTAAGGATGGCCACTTTTTTAGCCTTTCAGTATATATAATTTCTGGCTTCAAATTAATTCTCAGTATTTTTCATTGACCATTTTAAAGGAGGCCATTTTTCTGTATTTTAATGTGTAATTTTTTTTAACTCCAGATTGACCCAAAACCTTGTAACCCAAGGACATTGCAGAAACCGAAGAGGAGCTCGAGTTATCCTAAAGTGTTTCTTGGTGGTCTCCCGAGCAATGTGACCGAAACTGATTTACGGACCTATTTTGCGCGTTTTGGGAAAGTAATGGAAGTTGTAATTATGTACGATCAAGAAAAAAAGAAATCTAGAGGTGAGTCCAGTTCATTTAATAAATTGGCTTAAAAGAACCGTTACAGCATTAATAATGGTTTTTATTGGAATATGAGTTCATTTGTGAATTTTGCTGAATGTGAATAAACAACATTTTTATAAGATTTTTCTAGAAGTAGGTAGTGTTTTTTTTAAATAAATTTTTCCCCTTGTTTTCTACATTTTTTTTGTCTAGGGCAACAATAGTTACTTAAAAATATTTTATAATTTAATTATAAATTTTTGTGTCATTTATATTTTAAATATTTTTAAGTTTTTACAACAAAAACCTAGTAATTTTTCTAGTGATGAAGTTAGGCAAAAATTATATTTAGATGTATTCTGTGAAATTTTAAGTAAGATAATTCCTAGTTATTAATTGTTAATGTGTTAAGCATATTTTAGTTAATCTTCTAAAATTGTAAAATTTATTGTAAAATTGTTTATGTCTGGTTTTAATTACTATTATTAATATTACTTCTCTACAATCCCATATTTTAAGCTTACAAGGCTGAAAAGTGTTTTTTAACTTTCACATTCAAGCAAAATCCATTTGTATTTGAAAAATAATTTTATTTTTGTAAAAAAAAAATTTTTGCTCTTTGAGGTAACATAAAATCCGGTAAAGGGTAGAGGTTTCAAAAAAAAATTCATAATTGAAATACAAATAATAATTTTTTTGTGTATATTATTTTAGGTTTTTTATCAATGTTTATTTTCACGGAAGCACTCACTGCTGCTGAATTTTCCATTATGTAACAATAATTACCACTTGTCGAAGATTAAATTATGATTTTAGTTTTTCACAGATAATAATTGTTTTCACTTTTTTTTTTCTTTTAAGTCGCATATTAGGGCATTTAACCTTTACAATAATTCGTACGTTTATTCCATTTGCTGAATATGTTACCTCTAGCCCAATTGTTCTTTTACTTATTTTGCTTATATTTTTTGGTCTTTTTTTTTTAAATCAAAACGATACAAATTTTCTTCCTTAAAAAAAAAATTAATAACTTTTTTTCTTGACTATGATTATTTTTAAAAATATAATTTAAAATAAAATATGTTTATTTTTTTATGATAGAATAAACATAGATATTAAGTTTAGATCTAAATTATTCTTGTGAATTTTTATGTATTAAGTTTAGTATCATCATTTAGATTTATATTTTATCATTATCATTATATTTTTAGCACATAATTTTCCTTTTCCGGCTAAAAGAGGTACATTCTTAAGCAATCTGTAAAATATCGTGAGGCCAATGGGTATCATTTCCCTATACATGTTGAAGTAATTAAAAAAACTAACGTTTTGGCAGGAATTTTTCTATGAAGAATGGTGATGTTTTTAAATCTGATGTACCTTTGCATCCTACTTATAGACATCTTTACAACTTCACCCAGACCTAAGCAGTCTGAGACATGATGAATATTTTCAGCTGGTCTTTACCATGCTCTATTCCCCATAAACCTTTCATTCTATCAAAGAACTTCATTATTATTCTTCTAAGTAAAAATATCTGAAATCCTCCTTCTTGACATTATTACCACATCTATATTTCTAAGAACTTTCCAATCGAAAGAGAATTATCAATCATAAAAGTTATTCTTTCCATGCCTCAAAAATCTCTGTACGTCCCTACATCATGTCCTATCAGTTTGATACAATTATTTGGGAAGTTCTTTATAAAATCTTCTTGAAACGAGTACATCCCTTCCTTGAAACTCCGTCATTCCATCCTGTCGTTTCTACCATTTCACCCCCTTGAGCGGAAGGAATACTGCTTGGGTGCTTTCCTAGACCTAGATGCAAGGCAGCTGTTACTTTGAGTGTAGCACACACCCTTGTTGGAGACTCAAAACCTCATCCTAAAATCCTGTCTGATCGTACTTTTAAGTACAAATCACAAAATGCCAGTATACACTAAATATACTCATACAAGGCACATATATATGCAAACTATCATTTGAGCAAACCCAGTAGTGGCCTTCAGAAACCTTCCGGGCCCATCTCCCCTGTTTAAAAGAAATTGTTCAATGGAGGATCGGACTCACTGTAATAAAATCCCAGAAAACCCAAAAAGCAAACAGCAATATTAATATAAAATTCTTATGAAATAGGCTGTAGTCTTTTAATCAACTTTTTACTTTTTCAAATTTTTTTGACCTTGAAACACACTGACAATATTATTTTTGCATTCCCACTCCAGTTATCAGTTGTTAAACTTATAGTTTTATCTGTTTTATGACTAATATAAAACTTCTATTAGTTATCACACTAGTGGATTGTTAATTTTTTTCTTTCCAAAATATCTTGTTTTGTTATTGTTGGAGAATGTGCCTCTAGTCTAAAAGAAAAAGGGATTAAATAAATATTTTGTGCTCAACAAAAATAAATATGATAAATCTAAACATTTGTAGTTATAAATTTTAAGTCAAAATTTTTAGTGTAATTGCACCAAATTAATTATTGTCTCTCCTTAATAAAAGAACAAGGTGACACATCACTCAAAAAAGGGCACTGATGGGACATTGTATTGGTTGAATGCCCATTGGAAAAAAAAAAAATTGAGGAAAAAACTTTTTGAACTTTTTTCATTTCAAAAATTTAACAAAAGTTTTGGGAATCTTGAGCAGCAGTGATGACGGCTGTGAAGCCCCTACCAACAACTCCATCAACCACACCACCACATTGCATTCTTTGTGTTTAGGGTTTGGGTTTTTATCATTTGAAGATGAAGATTCTGTGGAACGGTGCGTATCGGAGCATTTCGTCAACTTAAGTGGCAAACAGGTACTTAACAGCCACCTATCCAGTCTTTATTCTCATTATATTGCCGAACATAGGTTTCATTATCGATAAATATTTTTAACAAATTTACAATTTAATTTTTTTTTATTAACAACTTTCTTTATTAACCGTTATGTTTTACATTAACATGTTTCTTAGGTTAAAGTTTATACTTTATTTAACACAATTAACAATTGAAACCACTGTCGGTAATATTTAAATTACTAATCCAAATATTTTACTGTAAATTTTGAATCGATGTTTGATTTGAATTGAGTGATTTTAATTTAAAAAGTTTAAATGAAGCGTGTGACAATTGAAATCTTAGTATATCTTAAATAGTGTATTAAAATTAATATATCATAAGAATGTTTGTAAATTAAGAACTAGATTTTTAAGGTTTAGTTTCACTATTCCAAATTGTGTATTATTTATTAAAAATATAAGTTTTCAAAACTTAGATATATGTTTGTATATTTTTTAAGATTTTCCTATATCTTATGTTATCTTGTGATGTGTAATAAAAAGAATATTTTATTTAAAAGAAAAAATTAAAAAACTGTAGTTAAGATTTCAATATTTATGTGTTAACGATAAGTCAGAAGGCTTAAATATTTAATTGTGGTGTGTAAGTTAAACATTACTGTAATATCATGGTATATATATATTTTTTTTAGGGGAAAAATTATTCATATCTCTTATATTTAGTTAATAAGTCGTAACTTTAATTTACTTCATAATATACTACGAAGAATATACTAAGAGTTCAATGGTTAGAGAGATAAAATTAATATTCAAATGAAGAGACTTCCTTTTTGCCGAGGCGCAAAATTGGTAATACATATCTGTTGCTTTCTCTGTTAATTATAGGTTGAAATTAAGAAGGCAGAGCCAAGGGATGCCAATAAGATGAATGATAATGCTGGTGGTAGCTCCTGGGGTCCTCAGCAAGGGGGTCATATGTCCATGGGCGGTGTAAGTATTATTAAAAATTACTTTTAATAGTAATTTTGCTGCATTTCTGGAGAGTTTATTAATACAATAATGTTATATTTAAAACTTGAAAAAAAAATTCTAAGTTCTCATTTTGCTTGTATACCTTAAAATTAATAACAAAAAAAAAAATTATTAGGATTATATTAGGATTGTTGAAATAAATTTGTTTCAGGGCATGGGAATGGGGAATGCAGGAGGAGGAATGGGTGGTCCAATGAGCGGTATGGGACCAATGGCGCCTAACAACATGATGCAGAGCTATCAAGGTTGGGGATCGACTCCTCAGAGTGGTTACCCAGGTGAGAACCTCTCTTTTTTTGACAGAACAATTAAAAAAAAGAACACCCCGACTCAAACAATATTTTAAACGTTTACTCTTAAAAAATATATAAGACAAAAGTGTCAGAAAATATGTAAAAGGTTCATGCTAGAACCTGATAATTGAGAATATTTTTTAGCATCCCCTCGGTATAATTAGCCTCAATTTTGTGATCTAGTTTTCTATTTTCATTAATTTTGTTTAATTTTTGTTTTTCAATTATCTATTTTATTAAATATTTTGAGTGAATAGGGTTTCATTATTTTCTATGTTGTCATTTCAGGGCAATGGGGCCCTTCGAATCAGCCTCCCATGAATGGTAGGTCTGGCTTATGTGGATTTTTATTTTTTTTTTAATTTTGTTTTTGCATTACATTATTTGCATTTTTTATTGGAGTTGGCTTATTGTGTCTGTTTTTTTAAACTTATTATTATTTTTTTTTTTTTAGTTTACTTAGTGCATGATATGAATGTCCTTTCCTTCTAGTTTTAGATTTGGGAAATTGCAAATTCATCAGTATTAGATCGGTATAAGTAGTCTTTCAGTCTTTTAAGCCCTTAACAAAAATATAATTATATATTAATTTTGTTTTCACTTGGTACCAGTCATTCATATATGGCAAAAAATATATATTTAAAAAAAATGGTGTTAATTTTTGGAAGTGTCCATATTTTTATTTCTTATTACTTTATGCTAGTTATTCATTCCAAATGGTGTTCATTGTTTTGATATGCATGATTTGAACTTATTAACATGTGGTTTAATTGTCATGATGTAGAATTTTAAAATTAAAAAATTTAGTTTTTAATTCACTGATCTTCTGATCGAATTGAAAAAAGACCTGCATTGTGGGACGTGAAGTGGAGCGATTATTATATTTATTACAGCTCCTTCAAATCTGTCACAACCACCACATTCTTCACATTCCAGTGATTTAGAGGTGGTTTTACCATCAAGCAGTTCAGCATGATACAGAAGTTCTGGAGCTTGTTTAAACTTTTCGAAGGAGCTTTTAACTTCTCCGATGTATTTTTAAAAGTTGAAGCACTCTTTGTTGTGCAATGTCAACGTTATTGGTGTTTTTTTGGCGAGTCTTTCTTCAGGCGGGATGGAATCCTTCACACACTGAGGTCTTGATGAAATATCGCCCTTAATGAAGTGCAAAAAATCATGAGTTAATTGAAATTCTAAAATAATTGAAAATTTTTGGTTCATTTTCATGTAATTTGATAGTGAATGAAGTAATTTGTGAATTTATCTCTTAAAATATGACCTAATATTTATTATGTCGTGGTCTTCTTAGTTTATAGCGACGATAGAGAAAATAATATCACAGACAATGGATTCTTAGACTTCCATCATAAAATTGCTCTTGTCCCTAAACGTTTATTATACCAAGCATCTTTAATTTTTTTAAAACCATTTAGATTAATTAAATGCATTTTTCCCTTTTCAAATTTAGTGAATTAACATCAGATTTATTTTGTAACATTTTTTAAAAATAATCTTCTGTCCAAGAGTTTCTCCCTGTCAACCACAACCACATCCTTGACAAATCTGTTCTTGGCCTATTGTTCTCAGATCAATCATATCTATGCTTTGGTCTGACCACCATAGTAAACTAAGGGGCAGTTTTTACCTGGGATAGAGTAAACCAACTTAGACAATCTGAAATGCACAACACACTTTATTTTTATGCAAATTTTCTATTGTTACATTCGAAAACAACTTTCAAATTATTTAGATGGCTCTCCAACAGAAGCTTAATATTTTTAGGAGCATCTACAATATAAAGGTGAAAATCTCTTCATCCGATCCCTGCTAATACTGTTGTCAGGATGCCTTTCTTTTTGAGATAAGATAAGCAGGGATGCTAGATAACCATTATTTTTCAACATGGATATGATTTTAAGCTCGTTATCTCCACGAAAATAATTATCACTCAATCTAAATGCCCTGTCAATGAGATTAAGACACATTTATTTTAATTTAGTCCTTTCTGTGTTGTGTCATTCTGTGTCTATAACCACAAATGGTTACCTCTCATTTGGTTACAAATATATGTATTGTTTTTTTACCGTTTTCATTATAATATTTTACTTTTAAAATTGTGACGAGTAAGTTATCCATCGTTTTCTCACATTATCGTGTTACTTATTATTAATTATAAATGTTGTTACTTGTAGAGCTCTGATGATGACCTAAATAAAGTTTGAAAGCTTGGCATAAGTTACAAAATTTGATGACCACATCCCTGATCTTTAACTTATTGATCCTGATGGTCGGTTCATCCTTACTTCGTAAATGGATTTTTATTTAGCCATTGTGGGTGAAAGCTCTCTATGTCCCACTTAATTAAAGGGCGCCAGCCCTTGGTTCTGTATAGAGAGCGTGTAGTAATGCCATCCGGTATTAGAATTGTGCTTGAGCTGGGTCTCGTTTTGTAATTTTTGGTGGAAACAGGGCTATTTTACTGTATATAATATTTTATAGGCGTCTTGTGTTACTTTGCATATTGAGAATGAATGTATTTATTAGTCACCCATCGACCCTTAATTATGTTAGTTGTATAATATGTGTGGAGGTTGATGGAGGAATATCAAGTACTCCAACGCTTTAACTAAGTGAATGGTATGTAAATAGAAAAGAATGCGAAGAGTGACAGTGTGAGTGAATTTAGCGATGTTTTTAGCTGAAAAGACCTAGCTTGATTAGCCCATGGATCCCGACTGATAGACAAGTTCTGACCCTGGATTCCCAAATATCAAGATTCTCAAAGCCTGTCTAATTTATAAAAATTAGTAAAGTAGTCGGTCTTATACAAATCAGTAATCAGTATTTAGCCTTGAGTAAGCAGCAACCTAGAAACTGGTTGTACAATTTGAAAAAGTAGTAAAACACCCTGTTTCATAATTAATTTATTATTATTTTGGCTTTTTTAATTGATAAATCACATGTTAACAATGCAATAACTTAATGTTAATTGAACGCAAGTAAAGAACAATGCACTAACACAAACATCAGAAAGGACATTTGTAATTAAATTTAAATTTTTTTAATGGATTTACAGAGATTTTTAGACTTTGTCATTTGACGCAAGTCCAAGGATGAGCTATCTTTTGGCAGTTGGGCCAAGAAGGTTTTGGCAACCGGCTTTCTTGCTTTGCCGTACTCTCCGCCATATCATTAGCCCCAAAACCATAATGGTCTTTTGTCTGTACAGTAGTGTTTATTCACCTTTAAATATGAGGAACAATTTCTTTAACCTTAAACTTAACAATTAATTAAGGTTTTTAGTTGAGATGAAAAACCTTAATTAATTGTCATGTATTAATCGGTCAAGCAGACCACGAAAGTAGTGAATTAATGACTTAAACTTAACCTTATTTTGATAACTTACCACTGCACGGGAACCCCATAGTAGTTGAGTGGTCAGCATGGGCCACACAGTCATGGGTTCGATGCCCACCGACGCCTCTGGCCTTTTTTCACACTACCCTTCCCCTCAACTACATATACAGTATGAAACAATCACTAGGGGGACCGCGGTAGCCGAGTGGTTAGCATGAGAGACTCACGCCGCGGTCGTGGGTTCGATTCCCACCGTTGCCTCTGGCCCTTTTTTCACAATAACCCCCCCAATTTGAACACACATAAGAATTGTCACATGGCTAATATGCATAGTTCATAACGAAAAAAAAAAAAAATCACATTAAAAAAAAGGGTGTAGACAGTCTTGGGTGGGTTCTGTACTTCTTTACTCAATGCCTCCAGTTCTCTGTATAAATTTTTTTTTTAAGTGCCTCTCTTGAATGAATCAATTTTAATTCCCCGTCTTCACATTAAAATCTATAAAATGGACAGTTCCCAATAGTGGATGTAGACAGTTTTTTATGGCTATATTCTGACTAAAACTCTCCCAAAACACCATTTCTTAAGTGTTTTGCTGGCCTTCCAATATCGTCTTTTGTCTTGAATATCTAGATTTTGATTGTACCAGTTTGCAAACATGTGTATGTACTAATTCAGTTTGACTCGGATTTCGATGCGAATATATAAAATGTCTTCCCACGTGTGTTTGACAATTTAAAAAAATAAAATAAAATAAAATAAATAAATAAAATAAAGTGAAAAATTACTTTTCGAGAGTAGGGTGCGAAGTTTTCCATTGGAAAGAAAAATACAATTCTAAAGAATAAAATAAAAAGAACTTTAAGATAAATTTTACAAACCCAGAAATGACCAATCCCTCAATTATATAAAGAAAAGCCTTAGAATTTGCCAAACTTTTCAGTCAAATGGATTTTAAAAAGCATCTACAAGTTGGCTTGACAAATTTACAGCACAGCATAAGATTTTTTTGTGGAAAAACTTTAACAATACTGGGCCAATTTTAAACCCCGTAATATTTTTAATTTAGATAAGACCGCCTTATTTTTTTTTTAACACTTCCAGATAAAACTATTTAGTTAAAAAATGACACATTATCAGGGTGGAAGTTTCAAAGGAGTGTCAGGAATGAGTTTCGTCATGTCTGATTTTCTGTCCTTGTAAATTGAATTATATTTTTTGTTCTATTTAAATTAATTGTACAATAGAAACTGTTTATAAAATACTGGTTATAAGGAACTACCGATTATAACATACAATCTCTGGCCCCGTGAAATGTCATAAGGAAAAAATAGGGATTTGTTCATAACAAACTATCAGTTATAACCAGTAACCCAAGGAAAAATAAATTAAAAAAAATAAAAAGCCACGACCTTAGACTCTTCTGTTGAGGAAAAATTAGCGATAATTTCTTGGATCAAATTGGAAGATTGTGCGAGCAGTCTCACAGTGGAACGGGGACGTCTCGTTCCCAAAATATCAGGAATGATGAAAAATAAAGAGAAAATAATCAAACAATTTAATAAATGTCATAAAGTTAAAAAAAATATGGGCAAAAAAGAAAAAAAAAAAGGTAACAGAATACATACTACAATGATACTGTAGTCAAATAAGTACATTTATATTTGTACATACATATGTACATATAAGCATAAATGTTTTAAAAACATTTATGAAATAAATTACGTCAGCAGGGTAAGAATGTATTTTGTACTTCCTCATAAACCCGGATGCATTATATAATTACTAATTATATAATTACTTACATAATGAAAACTGCTCTGCTATAAAGTACACGCCTGTCAATTGGGTGAAATGTTCAGATTTAACGAATTATTAATGAATACCGATTATAACATACAAAATTTTTTGGACCCTTGAAGTTCATTATAAATGAGTCACGAGGAGGCTCCTAATTTTTTAATCTCAACCAAGACCTTAGATAAAAAGTAAGGTTAGTTATGACTGCTAAACATATGTGGACTTTTTCTTTTATTTCTTGTTTAATAAATCGTTTGTAAGTAAATATGAACTAGATTGATTGATTATGGCCCATTTTGAAATATTAAACATTCTTGCCACTCATCTCCTAAATGTAAACACCTTGTGTAGGCGTCAATATTTCATTCCTAAAGAGTGTCCGTTATAGGAAAGTTTCACTGTATTCTACTTTTCTTTATTCTGAACATTCTACTTTTTTAAAATAGAGTTATGTGCTTATATATTAGCCAGAGTATGATTCCGTTGATTATTTCTTACATATAGTTTTACTATGTATACTCAAGAACATGTCAATTTTTTTTTTTTTAATAGTCTTATGGGCTTGCATATTAGCCAGAAAATGATTATGTTGATTATTTCTGATATATAGTTTTGGGGGGAGAGTTGTGTAAAAAAAAGGCCAGGGGCAACAGTGCAAATCGAACCCACGATCACCATGGGTCTATAAGCCGAGAGCGAAAAGCAAAATTTCATTACAATTTGTATATTTTAATTACACTTCACTACGGAAGGATTTAGTAGTATAAGCTGAAAAATTTTAATTTTCTATAATTTGACTAAAGTGTTCGTACATCTTGAGTTTTTGTCGAGGATTTTGCAAAACTCTCCACCATAAATTTTTGCTCACAATTAGTTGTTGTCGCTCAAGCTTAGGTTCTTAGACTCTTTCTCTGGTTGGATTTCCTTTATTAAATATTATTTATTAATAATATAATATTAATATATTTTGGTTGATTTTTATAAAAAAAACTTTTCATTTTTTTCTTCTTTTTTTAAATTTTCTGCTTTATTTTTACATTAAAATCTGAAATGTTAATGTAAAAATAAAACAGAATAATAAAAAATAAAGTTTTTTTTTTTATAAAAAAAACCCATAAAATAACACTTTTCATTATTTTATGATTTATAATAATTCGTTAAAAAACATCTATGCTACATAATACAACCAATAAATAATAGAGTAAATATGAATCGGGTGAGTTAAGAATTTAATGAAAAGTTATTAGGATTACTGACACACCATTTGCACGTATTAATTATTCACTAAAATAAAAAATAAAAAGCATTAGTAATAATTATTCTAGTCGTTAGAGTAATTGCAGCGTTAAAGTAGAAACATAGGCAGTAATATAATCCAAATTGCATGCATATTTTATACATTATACAAATGTATGTTGGTTTTCTAGTATTCATTTGAAATGTCACGTATAATTATTTAATTAGTTATCATTTATTATTATTATTTCCAATTTTTATGCAGACAGTTGAGAAGAAAAATTAGTGTAATGTCTCGCTCGTGACACTAATTTTTTTTTCTCAACTGTCTTTGCCTAAAACTAGGAAATTCGACTTGTTCTAAAACCATTGGACTGGAAAGTAATGTTTTTATTAAATTTTATCTTCGTTTTTACAACTGTGGTGAATATTCTTGCTGTAAACATAGTTTTTGTTAGTGCTGAAATTAAAAAAAAAAAAGTTTAAAATTAGCTTGTTTTTCTATGAAGCAGTTTATTATAAACAAATAAAAATAACCTTATATTCATTTTCAACTTAACGCAAATTCTTTACCCATCAAATATTATCATAACAAAGGAATTTCATCAGCCAAACCTAATATATTTTGTTGTTAGTTGGTGTACTGATACATTTTTTACTTCACCCTCATTAATTAATTTATTGTTGGTATGAGTGACAATATTAAAAATTAAAAGCCTAAGGTTTTTTTTTCATCAATTTTCCAAACCGTCAGCAATCTGGCAGGTGCATGCGCAGCTGAGTTTTGGCGTTCCGTGATGCTCCAACCCAAACTCAAACTGTCAGTTTTTCGTCACATTTTCAGACCAGGTTTGTGACTGGTTTCAGACCGTAGAAACACTCCGAGGATTTTACTAGGGACTGGTAGTCAGAGACATTCGTAGATGTTTCTCAGCGCTGTCGCTATTGTCAAATAGCCAAGTTCTTACACAACTTAGCATTGTATAAATTAATTTTTTTTTAAATTCACTATTTTTTGTGGTCCGCTTGACTAATTATTTTTTTTACCGTTTTTTTTAATCTAAAATTTTCTAGCTTTGTATAAATTTTTTTTCTCGCCTCCTACGTTTATTTGTAAAATTTAAACAAATTTTATAAATCCCTGGCCCTGAAGTTGATCTCAATAAAGGTTGAAATTGAAACGGCGCGATAAAGAAAACGATTTTCTAAAACTTTGTCACAACAGACCGCATCTCACGATCTCCAAATAATTCTTACACAATTAGAGACCAGATTTATTTGTGAAATAAAATCTAAATATGCACATATATATCTATTTAATTTTTGAATAAATATCAAAGGAGAAAAAAAATACTAAAAAGAAAGAAAGTAAAATAGAAACTATTATTTTGCATTTTATANAATGAAGAATATAACAAGTAAAAAAAAAATTAATTAAAAAAAAATAAGCCAATAATTTAGTTGAAATAACGAACATTTTTAAATGTTTATAAATAAAAATGTATCTTTCAAGTGAAAAATTCTATAAAATAAAAATGCATTAAAAAAATTAAAAAAAAAGAAAGAATTTTACAAGTTAAGTTGTTTAATGAAATCTTAAATTATGAGAAAAAATTTAGTTGAGGGAATTATTGGCTATGTTCATTATTCCATCTACAGTTCTCCATATGTAGTTGAACGACATGCAATAAAAAAGTTCTATGTAGTGTATTTATTAAATGAAGATCAAAAAATTCTAGAAGGGTTGAACAGTTGATATCATTTTTAATAATTTTCCTATTAAAAAAATTCTTCATTGGTTGATTCAGAAACATAAAAATAGCTCGGATCTTCTTTGAGAAGAAATAAGAATAATTTATTTACAAAAATGCAAATATGTTCAAAAGTGTGATGTAGATGTTTCAGGCTCCCTGCCTTTTTAAAGAGGCTTTTATTATTGTGACTGTTTTTTTTTTTGTCTAAGTGTTGATCAAATTAAGAGCATGTAGTAATATCTATTCAATTTCCACATATGGGATGGTTTCACTAGTTGGTCTATTATTTTGTTACTTTATCTAGGTTTTGATATCAAATATGAAATTAGTATAGTGCATTTATGAAATTTTTTTATATATAAATTAGCTAACCTGCATTTTTTAAAATTTTTTAATACCATTAGTTTATATGAAATTGTATGTTTTTAGAACTTGGTGAAATTATTATACATATCTGTAATGATCTATTAAATATAATTTTTGTTTTTCCTCTGTTGAGAATGTTTTTATTTTCAGGTTATGGTAACCCTTCAGCGCACGGTGGATATCAGAGTTGGGGAGCTCCTCCCGGACCACAAGCCCAGCAGATGCCACCTCAGTGGGGCTCTAATTACGCAGCCCCTCCCCAACAAACTGGTTACGGGTCATACGGTACGTATTTTCAACGTTACTTTATCTTCCACTTTGAAAAGACTTACAGACTTCTTTCCGTCAGGCTCCAATCAAGCAGGGTATAGCAGTAATTGGAATTGGAACATGCCTCAGAATGGGCCTGCGACCCAGGGCGGCCCTCAAGGTAAAAAAAGAAAAGAAAAATCATCAATAATGAGCTTCAACTTTGAATTTTCTTGTTTTAGGAGATATGTACTCAAGAGGGGCTGGTGCTGGAGGTGCTCCGTCGGGACCAACGCCTCCAGGAGCAACTGCTCCACCTAAATCCAGTGACTATAGTTTTGGCTACACTGGATACCAACAAGTAAGTTTTAGCCTTTAGTTTTCACCTTTTTGCAATTCATAATGAATAATATTCAACAATCATTGCTCCTCTAATTGTATGATATATTTTAGGTTGGGCCTTAATTAAAAAGTGATAAATTGTAAAAATTAGTTTAGTGTGATCTTTTTCTTACTATTTTGTGTTAAGCAATGGTAAAGTTATTGCTCAAATTAAAAATTGCTAGATGAATTTGTTTTTATAACTTATTAAAAATTGGATTTTAAATAAATGACCAGTTGGTTTTTACAAAATTATAAAATTTGTTAACATTGAAAAGAAAAAAAGCCTCGAATTTATAGTTTGGCGAATTCCAGCATCTTGGCTGCGCCAAATTCTCTTAATTTCATACAATAATTAACCAGGCCAAAAATCCTATTATCCGACTCCTGTTAAAAATCTTTTTCAGCTTTATTTCCCCTGATTTAAAACTTTAACAGACACAAACAATTTACAACAATTACGACAGACATCGGCAAACAAGAATAACAAAACATGGCATGGATCCTTGATTTTTTTTATTATTCAAGTTGCAGGTTATTATTTATTAGTTTTTTCTCCGGTATAGTGATTTATTAGTGAGCTATAAACAGTAAAGGAAAGTTTTTAAGAATTTGTAAAAAAATAATTATTAAATTTGATATTTTTTTTTATTACATCTTAAACTCAAAATTTTAGCAAGGGATCATCAAATTTAAACATTGTCTTATTATAATGTCCCCTTACGTCACAATTCGTACCCATTTTTCAAGAAAATACAACCAAAGAATCAATCAGACAATAAAACATTTGAATAACATAAATTATTGAACATACTTCTTTCTAAAAAAAAGAAAAAGTAAACTTTTTCAGTTTTTGCTCCATCAGCAGATTTGTTAATTAGAGAATTATTGCAAAAATTAAACTGAATTTTTTTAAAATATTTATACAATGGCTCGCTTTTTTCTCCACTGGTTTGGTCGTTTTCGTTGACCTGGGGTTGAAGAAAAGTTCAAATTTCAAATGTCAGTCGCTACAATTATTGTTTGTACTATGTGGGAAAGGTAGAACAAAACTCGCTTAAATTTTATTTTTACTTTAATAAAATATCAATAATGAATTATATAAACAAATATAAATAAAAGTTACTTGAAACATCTGTGATTATAATTCTCAGACCTCGTTCAATAGCAGTTTAGATTGAAAACAAAAAAGAAAATAATAAAATTTATACTTTCCATAAATCATTAAATTTCCAGAAATATTTAATGTGTCAATAACTTTAAACAATGGCTATTTGTACAATACAGGTCTAATATTAACATTGTAATGCATCTCATTAATGAGAGTCAGTACTTATGATAAAAACAAGAAGAAAAAATTAGCAATGTATGATTCATTGCTCATCCAATATCTGGGTTTTCAGTTGGCAATTAAAAAAATAATAATAATAAAATAAAGGTATAAAGGTCTATTTTTTATGCAATGCAAGACCTATTGTAAATTTTTTAAATTAAATATTGCAATGATTATTCTAATATTTAGAAAGAACCACTAGGTCATTAAGGTAAATTTAATTAATCAATCCTTTTTATGATTTAATTTTCCAGTTGAGAAAAATTTATAACGTGACACTAGCTTTTTCATTTCAACCAATACCTTACATAAAGATTAATTAATTGAAAGAAATTATTTGGTCAATCAGACCGTGACATCTAATGGATTTATAAATACAGTTGGACAATTTCCAATATATTTTAACCAATTTTTGGTGTGATGATGATTTCTGCTAGAGTTCTGAAACTTAATGTGATTATAATATCAGATCTCGTTCGTATTAAAATAACTACTGAGCACCAAAAGTAAACTTTAAATTGCTTTGTAAATTCCTGGAAATTGTTAAGCTGTTAAAACTAACATTGTTAAATTGGGTGATGTAATTATATAAACAAAAAACATTAAAATTACATAGTAAATTCGTGAACATTTTTAAGCTATAAAAATAGAATTATTCGATTGCGCACAACTCTATATATAAAATTGTCAAAAAGCCTCAGGGATGGGGGTGTCGGTGGCCACAACAGTTTAGGCGTTGACACAGTGCTCATCACTGTTAGGTAAAGGTCCTGGGTTTGAATCATGGCTAGTCTGAAAAAAATCGCCCTCCAAATTTTTAAATAGAAAGCGTTACTATTGAGTACTTAAAGTATTTAAACCTCCCCTGGGTGCATCGGTGACCTTAATGGTTTAGGCGTTGACAAGGCACTCATCACTGTAAGATGGAAGGTCCCAGGTTCGAATGCAGTGCTGGATTACGACGTTACAATTTTTTTTTCTCTAAAAACACCGGCACCCTGAGGAATCATGTAACCTCATAGCTGAAATACCCTCATTAAAAATAAGCCTTTTCTTCCCCAATACAAGTCCTAATATTATTTATGTTTTCTGAGCATTGAAATAATTGTTCATTTTACTTTAATTACTACATTGTTATGCTTAACCAATTTTTGGTGTGATGATGATTTCTGCTAGAGTTCTGAAATTTAATGTGATTACAATATCAGATCTCGTTCGTATTAAAATAAGTACTGAGCACCAAAACATTAAAATTACTTAGTAAATTCGTGAACATTTTTAAGTTATTAAAACTAGAATTATTAGATTGCGCGCAACCGTGTATATAAATTCACTATTTTTCGTGGTCCGCTTGAATTAATATCATTCAATTAATTAAGGTTTTAAGTTGAGATAAAAAAAGTCAGTGTCATCAACGGGATTCGAATTGAAAAATGGCAAAAAGGAGGGAAAATTCAAAAGGTCCTGTATATAAAGTTGTCAAAAAAGCCTCGGGGATGGGGGTGTCGGTGGCCGCAACAGTTTAGGTGTTGACACAGTGTTCATCACTGTTAGGTAAAGGTCCTGGGTTTGAATCATGGCTAGTCTAAAAAAAATCGCCCTCCAAACTTTTAAATAGAAAACGTTACTATTGAATACTTAAAGTATTTAAACCTCCCTGGGTGTATCGGTGACCCTAATGGTTTAGGCGTTGACACGGCACTTATCTCTGTAAGATGAAGGTACCAGGATGATGAATCCAGCGGCAATGCATTCGAACCCGACGTTACAATTTTTTTTTTCTCCAAAAACACTGGCACTCTGAGGAATCATGTAACCTCATAGTTGAAATACCCTCATTAAAAATAAGCCTCTTCTTCCCCCAATACAAGTCCTAATATTATTTATGTTTTCTGAGCATTGAAATGATTGTTCATTATATTTTAACTTACATTACTATATTGTTATACTTAACCAATTTTTGGTGTGATGATGATTTCTGCTAGAGTTCTGAAACTTTTACATGATTATAATATCAGATCTCGTTCGTATTAAAATAATTACTGAGCACCAAAAGGAAACTTTAAATTGCTTTGTAAATACCTGGAAATTGTTAAGGTTAACCTAACATTGTTAAATTGAGTGATAAAATTATATAAACAAAAAAGGCCTATTTTTAATTATTACACATAATTTTTATTGAACATTGATTATTCTAGTCTTGAGAATGAGCCAATAGGTGATTAATATATAATTAATTAAAAAACCCTTGCTATGATTTAATTTTTTCAGTTGACAAAATAATTATATAGTTGAATAGCTTTTAAATAAAAACATAATAAAATAAAATAAACTATAACTTTCTTATTAACTTTGTTTTTAATTGTTATTATTCCAAAGGTTGCTTCTTTTTAAAAATTTTGTCGGCAACTTTTTTTGTTAAGAACAGTTAGGAGGGGATCACATTGGCCAAGTAGTTAATGCGTGTGAACAAGTGGGTAACGACTAGTCTGGAAAAAAAATTCCCCCCAAATTTTTGAATAGAAAACTTCAAGTTACTAATGAGTACTTAGAGCAGTAAAACCTTCCTGGGTACGTTTGTGGCCGCAATGGCGTTCACACGACGCTCATCACTGTAAGATCAAGGTACCAGGTTCGAATCAAGCAGTCTTGAATTTTTTATTCCTCCCCCAAATTCAAAATTCAAAAGGTCCTGTATATAAAGTTGTCAAAAAAGCCTCGGGGATGGGGGTGTCGGTGGCCGCAACAGTTTAGGCGTTGACACAGCGTTCATCGCTGTTAGGTAGGTACCGGCACTTCGAGGGTTCATAAAAATCTCACAGGTGAAATAACCTCGAGATATAGAGGCTCCCCCCCTCTTTCCATTGAGTGATGTGGTGCAAACATTTGTTTGAGGGATCGAGAATGTGAAGACAAAGGTAGAAATTTACTAGGACTTTTTTTTAAAAGATTTTTTTAGTTGTTGAGACAATATGTCATGGTGTGTTAAAGATTTCTGATAGATTTCTTAAACTTTAAAGTGATTATATCAGATCTTGTTTGGATTAATTTAACAACTGAACTAAAAAATTTTTCATTTGTTATGTTGTAAAATGGACACCCTTTAAAAAAAAAGAAAAAAAAAAGGATTAAATAATAAAAATAATACTACTGTAATGATAATTAGCTAGGGTGGCAATAACAGTTTATGCATTGACATGGCACACATCACCTAAGGTAAAGGTCCCAGGTTCGATGCTTCGCATTTTTGAACCCAACGTACTTACAACTGGCTTTGCCTCAAAAACACCCCCGAGGTTTCATATAACCTCGTAGTTGAAATACTCTGGAAAAAAAAAAACAGCTCATAGTTAGCTGAGAATTAATTTTTAAAAAACATTAATTTTTGTTATTAAAATCTGGGATGAATCAACTTTTTTTTACTACTTGTCATTCACAAGTTTTTCCAATTAGAACAAGAGAAAAAAAATAGTACATAGGGAAATGAAAGGGGCTTTTATTAATTTTTTCCCTATAAAATATTCATATAAATAAAATAATTGTTAATCTATTAAAATAAATAAAACTACTAGAATTTTCTATTGCCTGGTTTTGAAAAATGTTATCTTTAACATTAAATATTGTACATAGAGAACATATGTACAGGATTTACTTTGAAAAGATTTTTCAAAAATTGTTGCCCACCTGCGGAAATAATAAAAAAGAAGATAAAAAGAAATAATAAATGGAATTTGTTTTAAAAAAATTGTTAAATGTTAAAAATTAATTTTTGGTGTAGTGATGATTTCTGCTAGAGTTCTGAAATTTATATGATTATATTGTCAGATCTCGTTCGTAACAAAAATACCTGAACACCAAAGGAAACAAGCTTTATCTTACGTTGACTAAAAATCTAAAATTATTTGGATCAGTTTGTATTTTAATACAGGGTAAATATATTTAAAAAAAGTTTTTAAATATTTATTAGATGTTTTTCATAAAGTGCCACTGACTTTTTATGTAGTCTTTTTTACTAACTCACTCTTTACACTAAATATTTTACCCGAACTCGTTAGGGGCAAAAGTTTTTGCAGCTTAAAGGGGGGAAGGTTGACTGTAGGAAAAATTCGCTTTTGTTGTAGCTTGGTTTCACGTTTTTAAATTCTTAGGATTTTTTTTCTGTTTGTTTCATTATTTTAACAGTTAACAGAAACAGTTCTATTTTAATGAAAAAAATATAAAGAATAAAAAGTTGTAAAAGTATGTTGATAGAAACATGTGAATATATATTTTTTTGAAAGAGTCTATAAAAGCAGATTGTTTAAATGTATTAAAATTCATAGGAATAACATTTGAGCTATTTTTTTTCTCTTTTTTTATTCTTTTTTTACATTTGTGCCATTAACATATTTTAGTGAAATTAGCACACTTATTGCAATTGTGCTATATTTTTATTTTATTTTTTCATTTATACAACTGAATAACAAACAAATCAATTATTGTATTGAATTTAATTTCCAAATGAAAGCTCAAAATTTCTACAATTAATTATTCACTAAATTAAACATAAAAGGAAAAAAATCTAATATATTTAATTACTCTATTATACTGCTGGTGGGAGGAGGGGATTTGATTTTTGTAAGAGATAACAGAGGAAATAAATGGTAATAGCCAAAATCAGACTTAATTGGTGTTTCTAAGACCGGGCGGCTCAACAGTTGTGTGTCCTCTGTTGTAGGAATCTACTAGCTACGGCGGCGGAAGAAATTACGGGCCGGAAAGTGGCGCTCAAGGTACAGGAGGTGGGTACAACAAGCCTTATGAGTTTAAGGAATGGCCCTCCTCATGATTGACACAGGCCTGCCATGTGTTATCTCCGACCTATTGGTCAAATATAAGTGAGATTAGGGCGTAATTATTGTCTAATTAAATTAACATAAATAGTGAAAAGTAAATGTCCTTATTATTATTATAAATGTACTAATATTACATATTTAAACAAAGGACAAGCAAAAGTGTCTTTTAAATCGCTTAGTTTTTAACGATCCATCGACTGATTGTACATACAGGTAATAGGAAATTTCTTAAGGTAAAACAAATCGTAATTAAGTATATTTAATGAAATTGTGGTTACTTTAACTTGTCCCTGAATGTTAAACCTGTTGTCCCACTTGCCCTGAGATATCCCTTCCTTCCTCTGTAATTTAATAATGATAATAAGTGAACAGTCATTAATTTTAAGAGGCCATTGTTTTTATATAAGGAGCAATAAGTAAAATAAAATTGAAAACATAGATTATTACTTAGTATGAACTTTGTTAAATACTATCAGAAAATTGTACAAATTTTATTTTTATCCTAGGATTACACATTTAAATTTTAAAGGTAAAATAAGTAATTTATACAATTAATCATAATTAAATTTAAATAGGTTTATTCAGGCTTAATATAAATATTTAGGTTTAGAAATATATCTAACTATATCTGACTGGAACAGAGTACAATTGTAAGATTCCACTTATTGGAGTTATGTAATTTTTAAACTGCTATTTTTATTATTGATTATGGTTATTTAAATGTTTGTTTTGCCTGTTTTTATTCTGAGAGTTTTATTTTGTATTTTTTCTATAAATACTTGACAAAAGTTCAAGTCCGTGATGCTATTAAAACGTAAGAAAATTCCTATTAGACGATGTATTATTGTGTTAATGATGCTGAACGCAATATAGCGATGAGAGATCACAAAAGTTGTCTTTGTTTTAAATATCCTGTTTTAACTCGGCAACATTGCGAGTACTCACCTTATTGTTTATCATTATTAATTATACTACTATTGTTCTATTCCTTGAGGGCAAGTTGAAGTAATCATGATTTATTATTCAGTTTGGTTTGCCTATAACATCAATCACATTAACTTTTTTTTTAGTGATTTACTATTCGTTTTTTTTAATATAAAAAAAAAACAAATGGCCGGTTTGTTGATATCAGCAGCAAGTACTTGCAGTGTTGCTAAATTATCTTCCCTTTCCTTTCCGACTTTACAGTATTTTTTTTCTACTTCTTTCTCTCCTGACCATTGGATGTTAATTAGCCCCAATCATTTTTTTTTGTTGTATATAATAATTCAACATTTATGAAACTGAATCATGAATCGATTTATGGATAAGAATTTTTCATTTTGGGTTTTTGCACTTGTCCACTTTTATATTATATACATATATATATTTAATTCAACCTAGATTTAGTAGTTTGCACTTTCTAGTATTTTTATTTTTATTTTATCAGCATGACGTCAAACAATAGTTTTATAATTTTTACTTTAAACATAAGTTTTTATTTATTTATTATATTCAGTAGAATATCTAAATTATAAAAGAACTCATTTTTTTTGTAGAATTTGTTAAAATTTGTTGCCAAATAGATGTGAAGGTATTTTATTTCGTATTTTTAAAAAAGTCTTCAATTGTTGCTATATTCTTAATTTTATGTTTTTTAAATCTTTTTCTCTTCAAATGAATTGTTATGTAATATCTTAAATTATTTCATCTTTCTTATCGTTGTTATTGTTGCCCCTTAAAAGAAAACTAATAAACAAAAATTTATGTAGATTTTGATGTAGGAATTTTAATTAATTAAAACCAAAAACATATTTCCTTTAACAGCACAAAAAAAAAATTTGAATAAAAACACTGCAGGTATGTACAGTATGCTTTATATAAATTACACTTTTTTGAAAAAAAATTCACTTTTAAACAGACAAAGGACAGAATTGGTTTTTCATAAAATAAAATACAACTGTTTTCTGTTGTACAATAATTATGTCCCAAAACCTTATTTATAGGCGTTTTCATTTTTTCTTTCTTTTCTAACCGCTTTCTTAATTTCACTTATATTCATTTAAATAACAACTTGCTGTTTTTTCCTCTTTCTCTATCTTCCTTTCCACGAAAAACAATTTTTTTTTTTGTGAAGGTAAACAATTTCGTATCATTCACAATATCCCTTACAAATTAAGCCTTATGTCTGCCCTAGCTGTATGTTTGTTGGAATGATGTATGAAAGTGAGTATATTTTGTGTTTTTCTCCTTCAGAACTTAATGTTGTTTCTTTTTTTATTACTGTTTTAAGCGTAAAAAAAATGTATCATTTCCATTTGATTCTCACGGTTTTTCTTTTCATTTTGTACATTATAATGTGTGAATGAATTTTTTTTATTATATAACATAAGACAGTAAGCGCTTTTATAAACAATCTGTCAAAACAAATATTCCAAAAAAAAAGAAAAAAAGATCAATATTATTCCTTTGAAATACATACCTTTCCTTATCCTAATTCCTTTTCCTTCCTTTTGTGAATAGATACGAAATTCGATGGCCGATTGAGCGAATATCCGCCATGCATGATCACTGGTGCTGTCCCATATCTGACTTTGTCTACTGCAAACGCAGGTGGAGATACACCCGGAAGTTACACAGCGGCCCCAGGACCCCAGAGGGGCAATTACTCAGCGGCTCCTGCACAGCAGTACCATCCGTACCGGCGCAACTGAGTGTGCGATTTCTGAGGTGGTGATTATTTAAACGATGTTTTCAATACTTGAGTTATGTTTTAATTTTAACTGAATGTCTCCGTTGGATCCGACTCGATTGAGGGAAATTTTTTTCAGTTACAGCAAGGAAACACTTATTTTGTATTTAATAATATTGTAAAAAGGAATGATAGTCCTATATTATATAAACAACTAAACTGAATCTGTCTTGAATGTTAGAATAATTACACCTTCATTCGCATTGAATATTTTTGTATATGTTATTCTATTGTTTTTGTACAAAATATGTGTACAAGTCATTGTTATATTGGTCTTAAATTTTTTTCTGCCGTTGGTGTTTTTTTAAACATTTTACATACTGTATGTATTGAACTAGTTATGAGAAAAAATGTGTTTATTTTTGTAACAAAAAAGAAAAAACAAATTAATATATATAATAAAAAATGAATTTGTATGATAAGGCCTGAAGACTTTTAAGTACCAGGTTACTCCAAATAAAAAGAGCTAACAAAAAAAAAAAAATATATATATATAATGTAAAAATCCTATACGGATAAGATAGAATTTGTGAAAGACTAAATTATATTGCATATTTTCGTACTGTTTTAAACTATGCAATTAATTGTTATTTTATACATGGAATATAATATACATATACAATATATATGTATATTATGAACAGACCAGAAAGAATCCTTTTAAAAAAAATTAAATTATTATGAGGATGAATTGCAAACCAAGTGAGCAGAAGACAGTGTATTTTAATTGGATTCTCCTTTTATTTTTAAAAATTTTATTCCAGATTTTTGTAATAAATGTAGCCCTTGATGTGTATTACATTTTTGAGATTTACCCTCTTTTTTTGTACGAATTTTTAGATTTTGCTCTCCTTGAAATAATGACCAATTTAATAAATAACGTTTTGAAAACGGTTGAGGTAAGTGAGAAAAAAACGTTTGCATGTATTTGTGCATGAATATTGGCTTATGCTACAACATGGAACTTGAAATGACACTTGTTAAAAAAAAAAAAAAAATTACAAAAGCGATAAAAATATTATTTTTGTAATCTTCTTTTCTCTATACAGCAGACAAGATGTATAAAATTATAATGAAAAATGATAATAAAAGTGACAGTTATATAATAACATTATTTTATTGTTAAGGATTTTTTAAAAATTACAAAAATGTCTTGAAGAAAGTATTTATTTTTTATATCTTTCAAACCATTCGGGTATACATTTACTAATTCATAGAAATTAAGTATACAACAGTATTTTTTTGTGAAATATATAAAATTTGGATTGAGTCTATTCTCTTCTCATAGTTCATCGGCAATTCCAGCTTTTACTATTTACAGTAAATTGCCGGCAGACTTGAGTGCTGGCAGTGTGGCAGACCTTATAAGTCTTATCCACTGAGTTTGGTCTCTGGGGGGTGGGGTGCTGTTAACAGTCAATTTAGAACCCAACACTGTTCCAAATCCATTAGTACTCACATTCATTCTTAAATATGCTCACTGCTCGTTCAATTACGATGGGGAGAACTCAACATTCCTCCATATACAACTAACCTAAATGTTGGAGTACTTGATTGACCCTAACCGCACATTACACTAATAAGTACATTCACTCACAACTAGGTATACACAACTCTGTTTTCTCCAAGAATTGGAAAAGGAGATGCAAATACTCAGTGCCTTGCTCAACACGATTCTCATATCAGGTGGCATTACTATACACCATCTTCTTGGAGCCTGGGAATTAGACCCTTCAATTAGGTGGGGCACATCGAGCTACTTTTCTCTGCATGCTGGACACATACACGGGCCTTGGCCCAAGTGTGTGTCAGCCTCGCATGGCCTATTCTTAATCGGGTGAACAGGGAGGTTATTTAAGCCCCTAACGTGAGCTGATTCGCCTCATTCTTAAATACATACCATTCACCCTAGGGTAGTGTAGTACGATATTTCACCTTTGGCTTTCACACTACATTCACTCTAATAAATACATTCATTTCCAATATAAAACGGGAAGTTAGAATACCCGGTGCCGTTTTCTAGCACGATTGTATATTGAGCTAAGGAATGTCGTCAATTAATCGGGAAATTTCCAGCAACCTTTTGCAGCATGGACAAATACATAGGCTTTGAGGCAAAAGTGTACATGTGTCAACCTAGCATGTCCAATCGGGTGAAGATGATCCCCACGATTCAGATCCTCCGAGGGTCATCCGTTAATGCTCTTGGTGTGACATGAGCTTCTCCGACGATCCGACCCGTTTCCCTTTGTTTATTGCATGTTAGTGGCTTAGGATCGCCTGGGCCAGGTAAGGTTGGGACGTATTTTACAGACCTAATGGCCCGGGACCCACAACCGTTTTATCGGTAAGCTCAATTTCAGGGAATCTCAACTACAAGAGCACGACGAGAGGGTCCACAGAGGACTCGTGTAGGCAAGGCAGTCTGAACCATCATCGTCTCGAACCACCCCAAATTAAATACCAAACAAGTCCGTCATGTAAATACACCCAAGTGTTGCTGGAGCGACCATGAAATGCACCCACGTTGGACATATGAAAAGGCGAAAACAGGTATACTTGGATGTAAGTTACAAGAAGACCGGTTGCGGAGCAGATGTACCGTTGCTAACTTCTAATATTAACCTTTACTGGCATCTAAAAATGCGGATGTCCTGATTTGACCTGGATTCCGGCCGAGGGTAAGCTGCTCTTTCAAAGTTCAGACGACAGCTCTTCGAGCTTGCATCACAGGCTGGCAAAAAGGATGTCGAGGCTTTTGGCTAATATAATCCACAGGAAAAATAAGAGAAAATATGTAAAAATAATCCTTATATCTTTTTTGTGGCATTTCTTTGCTTCTGCGACCAAAAATTAGCTCGGCCACCACTTTTTAAGCCTAAGAGCCCTTGGAGGTTTTAGGCTCGCAGGCAGTACTTATGCAGATAGAACAGAAAGTTTTCTTTTTCTGCATTAAAAAAAAAAAGATAGAACTCTTTTTGGGACTTAGCAATCTATCCCAGGAGATACACAAGGACAAATCGGCCTTAAAAATTCCGTTTAAATTAAAATCCTTTAAAATAAGTAAATAGTTTTCTACTTTTTAGATTAATAATGTTGTGTTTAAGTTCAAGAAAGTAAGAAAATTGAAAAGAATGAAAGGAAGGGGTGATTTAACCCCACCCCGAGGAATATCGAGTACTCTTGGTTGAATGTGTGACGTCTGGAGAGTAAAAGTAATTTATTAGCGTGAAAGGAAGAGGTGATTTAACCCTACCACGAGGAATATCGAGTACTCTTGGTTGACTGTATGACGTCTGGAGAGTAAAAGTAATTTATTAGCGTGAAAGGAAGGGGTGATTTAACCCCACCACGAGGAATATCAGGTACTCTGGGGTGAGTGTGTGATGTCTGGAGAGTAATGTGACATCTGGAGAGTAAAAGTAATTTATTAGCGAGATTGAAGTGGGTTCAACCCCGCCCCGAGGAATGTCGAGTCTCTGAGGTGAATGTGTGTGATGTCTAGAGAGTAAAAGTAATTTATTATCGTGAATGGAAGGGGGTTGCTGATAACCACGCCCGAGGAATAGCGAGTACGTGGGAGTAAATGTGACCAGACATCTATGTTTGTGGTGGTATATATATGTATTTTATGTTTTGTTCCTATTCTGTATTTGACAATCTGAGGTACAAACGGGAGACTAGCATTCTAGGATACGTAGAATATATTTGAAATCAGAGAGTCAGTAACCAGATCGAGACGTTCAAATGGCTGGAGTTTAAAACAGAGGAGGCGAGAAAAAGAAGGAAAATACGCAGAGGGCCGGCGATGATCTCAGCTGTTTGTTGGCCCATAAACTTCCCACTTTATTATTATTACACAAAAAATTTGTCAAAAAAAAATTAATTTTTTTCTTCTTTATAAAATATAATTGTAAAAACCAAAGCAGTCTAAATTACAAAATTGGCAATACAAAATAAATAATAAAGCATATTTAATAAAATAAAAAATGTTTCGTTTGATTTTGCTAAAAAAATCCTGGTTGAAAATAGCTTAAGATATGTATTCAAATATTTGATATTCTTTGAGTTTTTGTTGGTATATCATAAGGGTTTTGTTTACCCATTCGTAAACGTTCTTTCCTCGTACGGTACGAATTTTTACGTTTTTCCTTGTCAAAAAAATTCGACCCGTGGATGGTGTATCGTTGGAATTTTCCCCGCGTATTTTATATTGTCCTCACGATTTGCATGCAGGAGACATAAATGAAGCAGACCGCGAGACCGCGATATATATGAGGATTCATTAATACAAATGATACGATCCTTTCAGCCCTTCCGAATTTTTAACTCCGGTCCGTACCAGCCGCTGCCAAAAACAGAAAAAAACCCGTATAAATCCGATGGTTTTCGTGATTACTTTGCCCGGTGAGACGGGGAAAAAGCCGGGATGGAAAGTTGTAAAACATAATAAATTTGCCTAATATACATATAATTTTTTTCAATTAATTAATCTTTATGAAAGGTATTGCTTGAGATAAAAAAGTCAATGGCACGAGCGGGATTCGAACCCACGATCTTCCGCTAGATACGCCCCTGCTCTACCACTTGAGCTATCGTGACTTCGATCCACTCGGACACTAACTTCCCATCTCAACCTCACCTCTGAAAAATAGCAAAAAGGAGGGATAATTCGAGAGGTGAGGCTGAGATGGCCATACTACTACACATTCTCGCTAATAAATACATTCACTCTCAACACTGTAGGCCAATGGACACGATCAACTGTAATGGATACATATAACTATTACACAGGGTGTCCTTTTTAGATGGTATCTATAAAAAAAGTTTAAAAGTTTTTAAACTAGTTTCAAATTTTTACCTTTTTTTGGAGAAACATTATACAGGGTACCTCAGGCTCAGTTCAACATCAAAATTTTAAATACGACCATATAGATCCTGACATACCATTTTAAAGGATTTTTAAGCTGACAACAATGGCGCAATCGGATTTTAAATTATGATAAAAAGTTAGCAAAAAAACTATCATCAGCAAACTATTTATTAATTACATTTCGTGTTCGAACTGCCTGTCTTGCCTAAAGATACAAAGATTTGCTATTTTCAACCACACTTCACCAGTGCTCATAGCGATTGAGTTAGGAGAAATTTTCTATCCTTTGTATCCGTTCTTCTACTGAGATTGCTCGGTTATGTTCGGCGTAGACACTGATTTTTAAATGACAGAAAATAGTCAAGTGGAGTTAAATCGGGTGACCGAGGAGGCCAACAGATCGGACCATGAGGTCATATCCACCCATCCCGGAAGTGACGTTTCAAATAACGTTTCACCTACAAACAATTCTGAGGTGCATCCATCAAGCTGGAGAACCATTCTTTGTCGTTGTTGGCGAAGAACATCATCTAAGAATGTTGCTCAAAACTCCCTCATAAATGTGTGGTGTTTGGTGACCTTTAGCCAATGATTATCTGGAGATCGTGAGGTGCGGTCTGGTGAGACGTAGGAAGAAAAGCACTTGAGCCCTGAAGATGATCTCAATAATGATCGAAACGTTGGCACGATAAAGAAAATGTTTTCCTAAAACCACATCACACCAGACCGCACCTCACGATCTCCAAACAACCTCCCTCATAAAATTGAGAAACAGCACCATTTAAATTATTTTCGTAGAATTAAGGTCCAATTTCCGAGAAGTCCACACCAAATGTTCAGGGGGGAATCACCTGATGATGACAACAGGACGAAATTTTCGCAATTTCCTTTGGCTTAATCAGTTCATAGGGTGTATGGAAGAACGGTTTGTTTAGCCTCCC